GCGGCGGCGGCGGCGGTTGGAGAATTCCGCGCCGGTTGAGCCGGTGGGGCCGTGGCTGCGGGAGATCCGGCCGGACCAGAACTGGGCGGAAAAGCTCTCGGGGAAGCAGTACTGGGCGGAAGCGGCAACGTCGGGGGACATTATCCGGGAGAACGTGCGGAGCCATGTGGCTTCCCCTGAGGCCAAAAGCGCGGGGAAACGCGCGCGGGAAAATATGCGCGTGTCTACGTCACTCTCGCCCCCGCCTCCGCCCTTGTTCCCCGCGTCGCCGCTGAGTGGCGAGCCGCCTCAAAATCCGTCACAGCCGGCGGGACCCTCGCCGCCTGCCCCGGCAGGACCTTCGCCGCCCATCACGGCGGGGCTTACGCCGCCAATCACGGCGCCATGCTGGGGCAGCACCGCGGGCGCCGCGATATCTGCAGATTATTCTACAGCAACTACAGCCGCTACAACAGCTCCTGCGACCATTGCGCCTCCTATGGTTACAGGAATGCATGTGGTTACACCAGCTGCTCCTGCTCCTGCTCCTGCTCCTGCTCCTGCTCCTGCTCCTGCTCCTGCTCCTGCTCCTGCTCCTGCTCCTGTTCCTGTTCCCGCGCCTTCTCCCGCCCCTGCTCCTGCTACTGCTTTTGCTCCACCAGCAAATCCAGTCGTCACGGCCGTTGCCGTTCCGATGGATACAGATTTGCTCGCGATCGGCGCTCCAGCTCCGGCTGCTCCTGTCCTCCTTTCAGTTCTGGCAACTCCGGCAGTTGAAACGGCTTCAGTTCTCCCTGCCGGAGCTGCAGCTCCAGCGATCGGCGCTCCAGCTCCGGCTGCTCCTGTCCCTGAAACTGAAACGGCTCCAGTTCTCGCTGCCGTTACGCCATCAGCTGTGGTTACCACATTTCCCACGGTTACATCGGGTGCAGAAACGTTTCTCGGAATACAGTCTTTCCTAGATGACGTTCCCATGGTTATCGAACCTCCAATGGCTCTTCAGATTGAAATCCCATCGCTATTGGATGAGGTTCCTGTTACCACACCTACATCGGGAGCAGCAGCGCTTCCCCAGGTTACACCGGGTGCAGCAGCAATTCCCGAGATACAATCATTCCTCGAGGACGTACCCATGGTTATCGAAGCTCCAACGGCTCTTCAGATTGAAATCCCATCGCTATTAGGCGACGTTCCTGTTGTCACACCTACGACGGCGACACCTGCTACAGTAACCTCGTTATTGGACCACACCCCCACCGTAAATCCAACCCTTCCTGTACTTACCACCACGGTACTGCCAGCTGTCACACCAGTTACAGCGGTTGCAACGGTTACAACGGTCCCTGTTACAACGCCAGTCGAGCCTGGCTGGCTCAACTTCGTATAGACCTGCAGGAACTCCCGCCGGCTCCACCAAACAATACTCAGGTGGGAAATTGTGAAAGCAAATCTGGGAGGTGCTTTTCAACATTAGTGGAATGGCTTTGAGTCCGTATCCCCTTAATTTGCAGCCACTAGGAGGTTTGTGAAGAGTCAAGCGAGTCCCATGCGTGAATGCCTGAAAGCATGCACAAACCCATCAACACATGCACGGCCAGGTCCTACTGTGTTAACTGAAACCAGTAGCTGCATCTGCACTCCTATAGGAACTTGTCAGGTCTTTCTCATCCGGCCAGAGCCGCATAGCACTTGTGTTCATGTCTAACCCTGCTAAGGTCGTCTTCGTTTTCCTCTCATGCATCCACTTGCCATGGACTTTCCCACTGCCCCCCTTTTATTTTCCCCTCCCCCCTCTTTTTCTCCCCTCCCCCCTCTTTTTCCCCCCTCTCCCCTTTTCCCCCTGCATTCCCTCTTCTCCCCCCTTTTTCTCCCTCTCTGTCTTCTCTCACGCACGTGAACACACTCCCTTGCACCATCCCAGCCCCCACTTCTTTCACTTGAGTGTGCTGGCATATGTTTGTGTGTACGTGCATGTGAGCATGTGTGCATGTGCTTTGGGGGTGTTTGAATGTACTCGTGTGTCTGGAAAATCTTGGGTGACCTTGCGTATTCATGTTTATTCATTGACAGGAGAAGGTTGAACCGATGGTGCTGGTTCTTATTTGATATGCTTGGTGGAGGAAGAGTCACGAGCACAATGACCACGAAGTGGTTTCTCATTTACGTTAATTTTGAAGCAGAATACAGCAAAGGCATCTAGAATCAAGGCTGAAATGTAATAGTCTTATTCTGTATACCTGCATCTCAGCATTGTTTGGGTGATATAATACTTTTCAAATACCATTTATTCATAGCTCTTTTTACCATCCCCTTCAATGAAATACGTACAGTACATAACAAAATGGTTTGCCAGACTTTGTATCGCTAGCCTCGTCACCAGGGGCTATGCTTGTACCTGCCCACGTAAGTATGAGCTGATTGGTTGGGTGTCACCAATAGGAAAGCACCAGTCAGCCATGTACCAGAGCCCTAAACAGTGAAATGTTTTCCACGAATGCAGGAAAAACACACTGCTCTAAAAACACTGCTCTTGCAGGAATGCACAGCACGCGGTTGGAACTGCAACTCTTTTTTCCGCAACTCCGTCACGCGGAATGCCCAAGGCTGGCAAATCCTTTAGAGGAGGGGCACGTTTAGTTAAGCGAACACTTTTAGATGCACACGAGCCACCTGGGGGGCTGGTCCAGTAACGGGGTCGTGCGGATGGGGGCGGACTGCTGCGTCGCCGTAACACCATCGTGGTCGTCGTGGGTCGCATCGCATAACACCTGAGGAGGATCTGCGATGTGGGATCCATGGGGCATGGCGGAGAGATCTGGGAACACCTCCATGCTTCGCGCGCCCTGCGATAACTCCCTGATGAATTTCCATCCCGTCAGGATGTAGGGTCAGGAGGAGTTCAATTTCTGTTTTTACAAGCGGTTAGGTACGATATTGTACACTCTGGAACGGTTTCATCCCTTCACCTTTCTGAACCGTTACTCACCAGCCTCAACATTTGTGCATGAACTGTCAAGGAGCTCTAGTATACCTGCCCCACGACCATAACAGAACCAGCTTCTTCAAGCTGTAACTGATGAATTCGCTCTACTCTGGTGTCTTGTCTTGCATGACTCTCTCCTGTTGACCTACGTGAGACATCTCCTCTCCATTCTCTTACATTGTAATTTCGCCTCGCCCGTCTCAGCGCTCATTCTTATGTAAATATAGATTTGTTTCTTCGAACCAGTTTACCATCAGAAGATTTTCAGTGACAAACGTTGCGAGCTCGCATTCCTTCTCGCTTCTTTCTTCGAGCGTGACAAAGTCTGCCGCCTCCTGCGCCTGCCGCCTCCTGCGCTTGGCTGAATGGGTTCCCACATGAGCCTACCGAGAGTAAGAGAAGGCCCGGACATCCGTTCCCGAATGTCGGCGCTCGACGGCAGCTACTCCAATTCCACCACCTCCTCTTCGTCTTTCCGCCGAAAGCGCATCTTCGCGTTCGACTGGATTACTTCCCGGTCCCCCAGCTTTGGAAAACCGAAACCTAAGCGTCGGCGGAAAGCAAGCGGCGTTTCCAAACGTGAGCATCCGAACCACCTGCCCGTTGCGTCAGCGCCGAGCTCCCGAGGTTCGTGGCTGAGAGAAATTCCGCCTGAGAAAAACTGGGCCGAGAAGTATCAGCAGCCTCGGCAGGAACCTCATGCAAGCTCAAGTTCGGAGAGTCACGCGACTCGGGAAGAAGTGACACGTCAGCCTTCCGCGTCGAGAGGTTCCGCGAGACACGAGACGTTGATTGGCTACGACAGCGGAAGCCTGTCGAGGCACGAGGCGCCGGTTATGCCAGTTTCCGCAGGCCCAGCAGCGAAATCAGTGTCGGTGCCGCAAAATGTGCCACCTTGGGAATGCCGAGCGGATCAAGGCGAGCAACGCGCTTGGGTCAGTTTCTCTTAGCCGTTGCAAACATGGACGGGAAGATTTTGGAAATAAGTGGAGCCGGAAATCCCAGACAGGGCAGGGCAGACAGTTTTCTATTGGACACCTCAATGGTAAAATAGGGGGCTTAGGGCGGCCCGTTCAAGGCTGGATCTCACCCTAGAGCCCATGTTCCAGCCATTCTGAGTGGTACCTAAGGTAGTAGACAGGTCAAGGCTTCACCTCCTGTCTGGCTCTTAACCACATGAGATTCCCCTGCTTTTGGGCTATCCCACTTTTCTTAGGTGTAGAGTAGACTAACATCACATCACATGCATTTGTCAAATTGCATCAGTTTGATCCTGCTGTATTTACATCTGTACTTATATTGACCAGACCAGAGCCCTGCTACAGTCCCCAAAGCCTAGCCAATCAGCATCCTAGTCTGATGCTGATCTACTTGAGCGATACAATGTCAGCAGCAGCCTTGCACACAAGACAGCATCCCGAGCGCAAGGAACCATGCGATCCGACCTGCAGTTCGGACACTTCTCCCACATCAGAGTCGGGATTGAAGCACAGTCCGGGACTGTCAATATACTCTTGGACTTTGAAACAGGAGCTGATGCATGCTGCATGATGAGTGAATCGCCGGGATGCATGCTGCATGAGTGAATTGAGCAGACGGTTCAGATCTCCCCGAATCTTCTCACCAACACTTTAGGTAACAGCGGGCGGGATGTGGAGAACGCAGTGCTTCTCACTGACCAGCAACCACCCTCCACAAGCACACATGCATGTCACTCTGTACAGCTACCTTGAAAATCCTTGCCGCACGAAAGCAGCACAGCCTGTTGTCAATTTGTTCATCTGAGTCTCGACTCGGCCATGCTTGGTGCAAGCTCCGCACACACACAGCATCGCCCAGAGCCCACTCCCCTGGCTTTTGCTCCTCCTCCCAAGACCCCAACCAGTCAGTCACATCACATGCATGCACGCAACCCAAAGCCAGAGCCGCTGCCCTTGGACTGGCCCATGAACACGCCCTTGCCCTCCTTGACATTTGAGGAATCCCCAAATCCTCTCGGGATAATGTGAATTCTTGCAGTAGTGTGAGCTTCTCACACTCAAAAGGCGGACCCGCTGCCTTTGGACTGGCCCATGAGCACGTCCTTAGCCTCGTTGATCTTGGACGCCAGTAGGTCGCTGCCACCTGCGTCCGGGTGATTGGCTGTCATCACTCGCCTGTGGGCCTCCCGCACCTTCTCCTGAGCTGCACTCTCCCTGAACGTGGGAGGATGTGATATCACGTTGCATATGTAAGCGAAGTTCGACAGACGTACCGGTAAGCCAACTGTTACGAATGTAAGCAAGAACTTGATGTAGGGTACGTGAGGATAGAGGAGACCAAAACATGCTTGTACCATAACTGGATGCAACAGCGAATGAATGAAGGAATGATGATGACGAGATGAGAGATCAGATGGCAGGCAGGCAGGCACATGCATAGAATCGTAGTTATATGGTGTCATGTCAGCAAATTTAAGACGATATGCGAAGATGGGCACATGAGAGGAAGGATATGCACGCACGATAAGATGGACGCAAGATACACTACTATGGACGTATACACCATATACGGAAGCCTCATACCCGATCTCACGAACCAGAGGCACCACTGGCCGATGTACGCGTTAAAGGATGAACACAACGCGCGTACCTGATCCCAAGAATCAGAGCAGCCTCGCGCCGCGTCATAGTAGGCTGGAAGCCCCCCTCGTAGAAGCGCCGAATGCGCGGCACCACGGGTCGCGTTTTAAAGGCCTGCCACGCCTCTATGCCGTACCGCGCCGCGAGAGCCGCCGTTGCCACCGCGACTCCTGCGACGAACGGACCGGACTGCGACGACGGAGACGACGAAAGGAAGGATGTGGAGGATCGCAATCGAGGAGACGGGTGAACGAATGAAACTTTTGAGTCGACTCAAAAGTCACATCGCAAACGAGGAGACGTCTCAAAAGACGAAAAAAAGAAAGGTCGTAGAGGATCGCAAACGAGGAGACGAGTGAACGAAGGAAAACGAAGGGAAGACGAACGACGGACAGGAACACAAGTCCAACGCCGGTATCGGCGATTCGATTCATAAACGGACTGCACTGCGATGATGGAGGAGAAGGTAAGCGGGAACGGCGGAGACAAAGAGGAAGAAGGGCAAGTTCTGCGAAGGGGAACGCTGGAGACGTGCTGCATCGTATCTTTGCACGAACTGACAAGATTCTCCATCGCTCCCCTTCGCAGAAAAGAGAAACGGACGGGATCCCGGTCCCGAAGATGGAGACGAAACGGGAGACGAGGACAACTCGAGCCTACCAACCATGATTGAGAAGTTCTTCTGAATCAAGTCGTACGGATTCGACCTACCATGATTGCGTGAGATGGAAACAACGCTTCACGCACGGTACGACGCAATCTCGCGACGATTCAATAACGCGACGATCTGCAAAACCGATGAAACCGGGGCGAATCGAACAACAGCGAAGAGCTAACACGCCTGCGGACTGGAGAGCCAAGCAGCGGGAGGGACGGCCGCGAGGCGACAAGATGGCGCGAAAGAGTACTGGCTATAGAAGGTAACGGTACCGCTGACACCGGTCACGGCCAGCGCTAAGTACCTCGCACCGCACCCTCGCAAAGGACAGAATCCTGTACTCGTTCTCTGCAAGCGATCCAAGTCTGTACTAGAAACTAACTTTTCTTCAGACGCTGATAGCTACAGCCTTTCAGGTAGCGGCGGCCGAGAGCCACAGCGAAGAGTGGCGTGTCGCTGATGCTGCGAGAATGCACCAGGGAGAAAGTTCGAGAACAGCTACGCGCTTCAGAACGGTTGTAATATTTCCTAGAACGTTGGAGTAGGGTTTAGACAGCTTGTGTTGTGACATACGCGTCAGTGAGCTTTAAGCTTTACGCCAGGACGAATTTCCGGAGGGTGCGAGTAGTAGCCAACAATAGAGCTTACACATTGATTAGAAGCCAAAACAAAGATATAAACAGTGAGCTAACTATCACCAGAACAAAAATCAAGCGAAATTTCGCGCAAACTCTAGGCCGTTTTGTAATGCTGTACACAAAACGCAGCAATGCGATCCCAGGCCTCAGAGATAATGTGGGGCGGAACTGAGAGCACAACCCGCACCCAACCGGGTAAACGGAATGCAGTGCCTGGGATCAGCACTACCCTTTGCTCTTGCAGCAGCTGCCTGCACCATGAAATGTCATCCGGGAATGACGGGAAGCGAGCTAGATCAACACGGACCTGTGGTTTCGAAGGAAGATGCACGGAGCGAGGGTGGGAAGGGGGAGTGGGGGAAGTAGTGGGAAGAGGAGAAAGAAACATGTATAACAATGTACGATCGAGAGAGGAAGAGACATGGTGCACACGCACGCATGCACAATGTGCATGCGCTTGCTCACACACATGTGTATGCACAGAATTAGACACACAAAAGCGCGTGCACATCCATCCACCCACATACCATGAGGAACATGCCTCCCTGCGGTTCACTGGGACACTCCAGGCCCGGAATGGCGCCGACCCGAGACAGGCTGGTGCGGGCGGCATCTGCCAGCTGGCAGGTGAGGTCGCGAAGGAAGGAGGGCGGCGTGGTGTTGAGAACGGCAGGGAGGGCGGCCTGGGGCGAGGAGGGGGGGAAGAGACAAGACACAGGGGCGAGGGGGAGTTGGGCAGGGTCAAAACGGATACAGCAAACAAATAGAGAAAAAAAAACGCGGAGGTGTGTGGAAGGCATATGGTAGGAGCGACTGACCATGCCCTTGCAATGCTATCCACCGAAAAGGCCACATGGCATGGCAGCACAGAGAGGATATGGATGTGTCAGCAGCAGTATCTACCTGGATGAGGGAGCATGGCTGAGGGGCATACTGCAGGATTCGCTCCAAAGACTCAATGACCTGGAGGGATGGAATGGGATGGGAGCATGGAAGCATGCGCACATGGGAGCATTGGAACATGGGAGTGTGCGAGCACGGCTGAGGGGCGTACTGCAGGATTCGCTCCAAAGACTCGATGACCTGGAGGGATGGGTGCATGGGAGCATGGGGCCATGGGGGCATGGGGGCATGGGGGCATGGGGGCATGGGGGCATGGGGGCATGGGGCAAAAAATATGGGACACCAATACATGAGAACAGAGACCTAGAGGAAAAGACGTGCGGGAAGAGGAGGCATAGGCGGAAGTCACTAGAAGAGATAGAAAGCGAGACAGAAGGGATGGGGGACTCAAACAAGAGAAAAACCAAGTGCGGCAAGCCTTGGAGGGCTTATCCGAGAATGCGGCGAGGGTAGTGCAGAGCACCCCACCACATCCCCTTACATAACCTCAAAAAATTATGTAAGAGGAAAGGTCAAACTCAGATCTTACCCTAGCATCCTTCAGGATGTGGTGAGGGTCGTGCACTGCGATCCACCCCACCCGCCACCCCGGCACCAGGAAGCGCTTTGACAAGGAGCTGACTGTCAGTATCGGCACACTGTCCGCTGCCTCTGCTGCTGCAGGAGATATGCTTTGCTTTGCACAGAACTTACCTCAAAACAAATCAGCAAAGAACTTACCCTAGCGTCCTTGAGAATGTGGTGAGGGTCGTGCACTGCAATCCACCCCACCCGCCACCCCGGCACCAGGAAGCGCTTTGACAAGGAGCTGACTGTCAGTATCGGCACACTGCCCGCTGCTGCTGCTGCCGCTGCTGTTGCCACCGCTGCTGCTGCTGTAGGAGATGCTTTCTTCTGCACAGCTTCATGTGTTGCCTCTCCTCCATTAACAACAGGCCCGTTTCCATTTCCCACATGTACCCCGTTACCAACCACCCCATTGCTGCCGGCTGCTGCGGTCGAGTTAGCAGCGTGGTCGGCATGGGTTTGTCGGGGTTGCTGTGGATGTTGCAGGGCTAGCTGCATGGCGGCAGCACGCAGAGGGATGAAGGGCGAAGCTTCCTGGAAGGCGATGCCCTCGTACACCTCGTCGGCTATGATTGGTAGACGGAGGGCCGCTGCTGTGGTGAGGATCTGTGGGAAGTGGACGAGACGTGGGTAGAGGATGAGGAATGGTTAGGGTCGGGTGTGGGGGAGAGGGGAAGGGAGGGGAGAGGAGAGAAGGGGATGTTATGGAGGAGAGGGGATGAGAGGGAGATGGGGTGAGTGACGTAAGCAGAAAGAACGGATTCACGAGAGCAAAACAGAAATATGAGGAAAGCCCAGCTCCACCAGATGCTTCCCAGAGAAAGGTCAGAACTCACCTCCACCAGATGCTGCCGAGAATAGACCTGCCCGCAGGGATTCCCTGGATTGCACACCAGTATAGCCACCGTGTTCTCATCACGAAGTTTTGCAACCTGCCCGAGATCCACCTCCCAGTCCTTCTCGGGCAGGAGGTCGTAAAATCTGGGCTCCAAACCGGAGTGCAGACACATGCACTCGTAGACAGGAAATCCCGGGCGGGGCAGCAAAATATTTCTGCCCGGATTGGCTAGCGCGTCTAGGCACAGTTGGATGGACGGGCCGCAGCCTCCAGTAATGTACACGTCAGTAGCTGAGCACGTGGGCGCGCACCCTGCTGACGTGGCAGGAGGGAGCGTTTCCAGTGCTGACGTGGAGCAAAATTCAGCCACCGCCCTGTGATGGTAGACAGGCGAGCATGGAAGAAAGGGGTTGGGTGGAAAAACGAGAAGAAGAGATACGTTGAGAGGGAGTGGGGGGAGGGGGGAGCGTTCTGAGGCACCGCTTAGTTCAGCCACAACCTTGTGATGGTGGATGGGCGGAGAAGAAGAGGGATGTTGGGTGGGAAAACGGGGGGAGGGAAATGAGGAGAGGCGGTGGAGAGGCGGTGGAGGGATGTGGGGAAGGCTCATCAGCTGTTCTGACGTGGAAGGTATGGGTTGGGGTTGCGCTTAAGCAGAGGGACGAAGGAGAACATGAGAAAGAGAGAGGAAAGGGAGCGGGGAGGAGCGGAAGTTAGGGGAGACATACAGAGTAGAAGGTTGGGGGGAACGGAAGGAGGGAGCAGGCGGAGCGAAGGCAGAGGAGGGAAGCGGGAGGGGGGGAAGAGGGAAAGGAGGGAGGCGGAAAGGGAACTGGGAAGGGGGGAGAGGAAAAGGGTAAAGTCACTTAACCCTCTTATGTTTCCAGCGTTTCAGGTCTCTGTGTGTTTGCTTTGCACCTGTCTCGCCAACAAGGCTGGCTAAGGCTTATCCATAAAGAGCCTTAACCCACGCATCCGCTTTATAATCCAGACAAATTACCCGACCTGCGGGAACGTTACTTTGAACTGCCAAATCCCACAGCCTTTCACATGCTACACGTCAGCCGCGTACCTCCGTGCGTCAGGCAGTCCATTAGAAGGCGGGTACCCGTTATAACGACCACTCGCTATAGCGTCCTGCACGGCGCGCACCGCCACATCCGGCAGCTTCAAATGTCCGAACGCCGTCGGATCCCCTTGACCCAGCGAGATCAACGGCTTCGGAGGAGCGACGGGCGCGGCATCAGACGCAGCAGACGCAGCAGGCGCGGCGAGCACGGCGGCGAGAGAGTCCGTGATCTTGCGGATGGGGTTCTCGATGGACAGTGACATCCGCGACGCCTCAACAGTCCACGTCAGCGGCATCTCCGCGTCGTCCCAGAGGCTCTTCTCGTCCCAAACGGCCGTGTTTTTCTCGTTTAGCGGAGAAGCCATGGCGCCGGCGTCGCGCTGCGCCGGCGCTGAATTCGACCCAACTGGTGCTTGTTGCGCGAGAGTCGGAGCGCCTCGAGGCGCTTCGGAGCCTGTCTCGGCCTGTGGCTCAAAGTCTGACTGAGGGAGCGGTTTCTGAAAAGGCACTTGGGGAGCGCAGGGTGTATCGGGATGGTTGGGGATGGTCCCCGCGGTAAACGCTGGTGCCATGTGAGTCGGCGCTTGGAGTTTCTGTTTTAGGCCTTTATATGTTCCGTCCAGATGTTCCGATCGAGGAGACGACATCCACACAGGAAAGGGGGAGAGGTTTTCCATCGGAAAGGCAGATCAGACCACGCAAAAGGGCCCTTGTATGTTCCTTGAACGACGCACCCAAGTCTCAGGGCCGTTCCAACGCACTTGCGGCAGCCCAAACGCGAAAAGAAAGGAAGAAAGAAAAAAAAGCTTTCAGAATGAGACGGAAATCCCAGAAGTTCCGTCCAGTGGCCTAAGCAAAATGTGGATAAGCGCCGCGGTTATGGCTCGTCGAAGACGCGTGACGCTATAAGGTCACTGCAAACACACGCCCAGGGCAGGCAGAGCGAAGACTGCTGGGGACGGTGGTGAGACGAGGCAGGGAGGAGAGACAGGGAGGAGCGGAGGAGGGAAGGGAGCGCGGAAGCTGACAGCCGGCTAGGCGTGAATGAGTCGCTGCATCGTAACCATGCAGGGCCTGTATCCCCAGTGGCCGTCCATGGTCGGAGAGGAATGCTGGCGAAACGCGGAACAAGAAACCTTCCGTGCGGGACTGAGGAAGCTGCAGGGCCGGCCGAGTCGATGCACCGCTCCGAGCGACTGCACTCACCTTTTCTGTCCCCCTAGGCCGCCTATTCGGCTAGCCTGACTGGAACATCGGGAATGTCGAACAGCTGCAGTCAATCTCTTGTCACCTGTCAGTTTCCTGGGCCTGGGGATTGGCTTCTCTGGTCTGGTTGGGTTTGATTGGGTGAGACGGAGGGATGTGCGGTAAAGCGGAGGGATGTGCAGCAAGGCGGAGCGGAGCGTACTGGAACTGAGGGTGGGGGGCAGGCCTGTCGAAGTTCCTGGGGCCCATACTTGGAGTCCCCAGCTCCTCCCTATCTGACCCTGTTTTGGCCGTAGCTGAGTGTTTTGGCGCCCTTAACGGTCACGGGCGCAGGCCAAAGTGAAAACTTGATATCCGGGCTTGCACTTACACTATCTTAGCTAAGGGAAAGTTCGGCTGCTCCAAAGCTGACTTAGAGATATCACAAACACGGGATTGGCTAGGAAATGCTAAGGGAAAAATCCCCTTGGCGCGCTCTCGTGCAACCTAAGGAGAAAGGGGGGTGGGGAGTGGGGGGGTCAGGCAGAATTTCTTGGGAGGGGGGGTCCTAGAACCGGAAATCAAAACTTTGTGGGTGGGAAAGGCCTGGTTGGAGCACTTAACGCATCCGGGGAAGGGTCGAACGAAGCACTTAGTGGCACGGGTGCAGGGCGAACCTAACACTTTATGCAGTCGAGCTGGAGCGAAAGTAGCCCGGAATTTCAGGGCATTAAGGGCATATGCCCGTCAATCGACAGGCCTGGTGGGGGGGATTGGTTGCGGGGGAAGTTGGCTTGGGGGGCTTGAAGGGCGCGCCGCGCACAGCATATGGGATGTCGAATTGAGGCCTGTCGATTCACGGGCATTTGCCCGTTTTCCCTGAGAATTCAGGGCTGGTTTGCTCCTTAGGCCGGATTGCTAACGGACAGGTTTTGGGCCTTCCCTGGATTTCCCTTCCCACATACATGCCCCCTCCCCCCATACATGCCCCCTCCCCCCCCAACTTTCCTTCCTCTCGTTCACCTTGACAGCGTACGTCCCCTCTCTCCACCCCTCTAAACAACACTTTCCCACCTTCCATATGTTGTGTGCACGTCTCTACACAGTAGGTCAGCTACATTAGAGTAAACAAGCTCGAAATTTCAGGGCCAGATTTGGCTGCTTCCCGGACGTTTCCGGGCTGGTTTCGAACCAGCTCAGCTTCTAACGGGCAGGGCTCAGACCAAGCGACAGCCCTAGGATGCAACAGTGCTCCGTCAAAAATCGTTCTGAAACGTACTACGCCGTACTGAAACATTGTGTGCGATTGTATTCCCTAGGACAGGTGCATGAGCAGAGCTTGACGGATCACATGACGTGGCGGTTTGGGTGTGGAGATTGGCGGCGGTTGTCGGAGACGAGACAGCACGGCGGAGGTCACACGTCTCGCTGACGAGGAAGCCACGCCTACGATGCACAAAAGACGAGGCTGAGGTGCACGCCACGTCACCCAAAAGGTCTGCCGAGAACTAGCTTCTGATTCAGCAGACATATGCTTTATAGCATCGGCCTCCTTGCATCATATAGTGGGTGCATTTTTCTTCTGATTTAAGATTTCACTTGTTCTGTATTTAGTCGGTTCAAGCCAGCCTAAGCGCGGGGTGTCAGAACTTTGCACCCCAAGGTCTGCAAGTTGCTCAGTCGCGGCTCCGTCAGGACATTCTCTTCGCGGGAATGCGTGGGGGAGGGAGAATCCTTTTGAATGTGGATGGCACGATTCAGGGATCCAGCGAAAGTCGTCACGGGTGTGTTGAATTTCGACGACAGTGGTTACTGGCTTGGCGAATCCCGATGGAAACCGCGACCCGGGCTTGATGGTGGCGACCAAAGGTTTCCCGCCAAGTCCAGGCCAGAGCGAACCTACGGTACAACAATATGGCTTGGCAGACTGGCAGGGATTGTGGCATCAACTACTATCTGTAGTTCCTAACCTTGTAGCTCTAGATTCCCTTTTTGTCTTGTCTGTCTGTCTGTGGTCTCTCCCGAAAGCCAAAAACATGTTATTGTTGAGTTTCTAGGATTAACTGGCTCCTCGAGCGTTCGTTTGTGACCTAATGTATGCCGCGAGTCGCCCCGAAGGCTACACAATGCTGGTACTTATTCCTGTTGCTCCCACGAGGCCTCTAGGAACCACGCAAGTATAAAGCTTCCATAGTGAGCTACTTTCTCATTCCGCTATCATTCACAGGCTGGTTTCAGGCAGAGAACAATTTCTCCAGAATGGGACCTAGCCTGGAATCAAATAAGCCCCTTAGGCCCTCACAATCACTACTTAGTAGACAGCCAGGCAGGCTTGCGACATTCTTCTCGCGACACACAGTAGTAGCATACGACAAGCTCGGCGACCCATTGCTCTACAGTCCGGCCGCCGTCGGCGACTGCAAAGGCCGTAGTGTAGACCACGTTGACCTCGCTGACCGCATTGACCTGGCAGATCTCCTGCCTCCGTCGAAAAAGGATTTTAGCACTAATAACAGGTCAGTCTTTAGAGCATCATGCAGATTATGGAACTACGCGACAGCGTGTCTCCTGCTAGTAGCTCTTATCAACCAATACCTTAGAGTAGCGCATCAGCCGCTAAATAAGCAAAAGGATCTTCTTTCCGATATCAGGATCGAGACGACGCCAAGCGCTAGAAGTAACAAAGCTTCCTCCAAATCGCTTCCAGCTGCAAAGCTGGTGACGCGCCAGGGGTTATTATCCGACATTAGGATCGAGACGACTCCAAGCGCTGCTAGTAGCAACAAATCTTCCTCCGAGACGCTTCCGGGTGCGAATCTGGTGACGCGACGCGATGTACTATCCGACATTAGGATCGAAACCATGGCTGCCGGCGAGGGTGTCAACAGGACGATAGAGCGCGGCCTGACGTTTCTCCAGCTCTGGGCTCAAGCTAACGGCGTCGAGCTTTCGCGAATAGCGACCGTTAACGTTGACGAAAACTTGTCGCGAAACGCGACGGTCAACGTTGACGGAGACGGACACGTGTCGCTTCCCGCAGCGACCACGTTCTTCAGTGTTCCGTTCACCGTCCCGAGTGCGAACATCACGTGGAACGATATCTATCCCGAATGGATCGACGAATCACAAAATTCCTCCTGTCCGGAAATCCCAGAACCAGACTGGTACGCAGACGACTCCGATCAGCCAGGCGCGGCGGGAGACGGACAAAGACCCGTTGGAGAAGTCACTGGTACGACGGAGCACTCCCAGAGTACCCCGTTATTGGGGTCGTTCGACGGCGTGGTGGCGAAGCTGCCGTGCGAATCGCAGCCAGCGGATTCGTGGGCGAGAGACGTGCGGTGGCACCACCTCATGCTGACGGCTGGCCGGCTGGTTACCAAGGTGGGTGCGGTTACATTGATATAAAGGCAACGCATCCCTTCCCTCTCGTAATCCTTCCGACGTCTTTGAGTCGACGATGTTGGTGCTGGCGTTGCGATTTACCCTTTCAACCCTCACCACCCTTTCCCATCTCTTCCCGCCCTCTTCCACCCCTCGCACTGTTCTCTCCATACCTCCGTCCTCAATCGCGCCGCCTTTCAGTCCACGTCAGCAATGACGCCGGTGCTACTGTTCACCGAGTGCCGCCCGCCGCCGAACCTCTTCCGTTGCCGCGATCTGGTGATGAACGAGGGGCCAATCTGGCTCTACCACGTGGCACCCGCCGCCATGCGTGAGCGTCTGCAGCCAATCGGGTCGTGCCAGCTGGCGCACCCGACGACCCTGGCGGAAGGGGGCCGCAGGGCGGAAGGGGGAATGCAGAAGGGGCGGGACGTGGTGCAGCAAATAGGAGAAGCGCGCGAAGAGGAACTGGTGGACGCGCCGCGGGGAGCGCGAGGTTCGGCGCGGGAACTGCTGGAGTCGCGGACACCCCAAGAGGTGCCGCGACCGGGGGCGCGAGTACCAGCGCGAGCAGCGTCGCGGGCCGCGCCGCGAGTGGCGTACGCGTCGGTGCTGCACACGACAGAGGACTACGTGTGCGGCGCGATCGTACTCGCTAGGAGCCTGAAGAAGAGCGGCACGAAGGCGGACCTGGTGCTGCTGGTGTCGCGGGAAATCAGCCGCAAGAGCCGCACGGGACTGAAGAAGGCGGGATGGCGGCTCAAAGAGATCGAACGGATTCGTAACCCTCGCGCCGTGCCCAACAGCTATAACGAATGGAACTACAGGTGCGTGCAGAGAAGGAGGGCAAGGGTTAGGTGCGTTTGGCGGTGCGGGGTGGAAGGCAAGCGTGGATTTGCAAACCCACGGGGGGCGGCAAGGCTGGGCAAGTGTGTGCTTATAACGAGCGGACGTACAGGTGCGTGTGGGGATGGAGGGAGGAGCGCGCGGCAAGTGTGTGACTGTAACGAGTTTAGCACCTTCAAACTAACAAGACACCCTGCCCCTCCACTTCCCCCAACCCCCGTATTTCTCGCCCTCACCCCCCTTACCAGCAAGCTGCAATTGCTGCTAACACATGCCCTCCTTCTCCCATCTCCCCCACCTTTCCCCTTCCCACCAGCAAGCTGCGTCTTTGGCAGCTCGAGGAGTACGACAAGGTCATATTTGTTTGTCAATGATTGCCGCTGCAACATCGACTTACACATGCACTCTTTCTCCCATTGGCCGTCCTTCCCTCCTGTACCCCCCACCAGCAAGCTTCGTCTGTGGCAACTCGAGGAGTACGACAAGGTCATATTCGTCGACTCGGACGTCCTCGTTTTAAAGAACATCGATTTCCTCTTCAGCTACCCCGAGCTCTCGGCCCGCGCCAACGCGCGCCACCTCTTCAACTCCGGAGTCATGGTTCTAGAACCTTCCAACTGCACCTTTAATCTCTTCATGCGCCACGTCACCACCCTCACCTCCTGCAACGGCGGCGACCAAGGCTTTTTAAATAATGTTTTCGCGTGGTGGCACCGGCTGCCCGAGTCGGTCAGCATGCTGAAATATTCCTGGAACGGGGACACCGGTGCGGGTGGGACGGCGCAGCGGGCGGCGAAGCGGGCGGCGCAGCAGGCAGCGCAGCGGGCGATGCTTGACTTAGTTTTTTCGGCAGAGCCTGCGAGAGTGCATGGGATTCACTACCTGGGGCGGAAGCCATGGCAGTGCTACCGGGATTTCGACTGCACGTGGCTGTATCCGTGGGACCACCAGTACGTGAGCGACGCCGCCCATGCCCGCTGGTGGGCACAGCACGACCTCATGCGCCCTTCTTTGCAGGAATACTGCTGGCTGCCCAACAGGTGCGTTGCTGGGCTCCCGCTGCTGTGTGTGGGTGTGTGTGGATGGGTGAAAATGGCTGTAGATGCGTGCAGATGTCAGGTGGAAGGAAGGTGGAGATGGAGTATCGCAGGCGGGTGCTCAAGAAAGAGAGGGCTCCTGCTGCATTGCCATACAATTCCCCCTTCAAAGATCCTGACACCCATCTCCCACCCCTCCTCTGGCAACCATCAGGTGGAAGGTGGAGATGGAGTATCGCAGGCGGGTGCTCAAGAAAGAATAGGCTCCTTTTTCTTTTTCCTTCTCCATTATGTGAAGGGCCAGACGAAAGAGAAGGCTCTTAAATTGACTTTACCCCCTTTAACCCAATCAGCACTATCGACCCCATGAATCCCACATTCTCTCTTCCCCTGTCAACCATCAGGTGGAAGGTGGAGATGGAGTATCGCAGGCGAGTGCTCAAGAAGGAGAAAGCTCCTGCAGCATTGCCATACAAGTCCCCCTCTCAAGATTATTTAAACCCTTCTCCCACCCCTCTTCTGGCAGACATCAGGTGGAAGGCGGAGATGGAGTATCGCAGGCGAGTGCTCAAGAAAGAAGTCGTCTGCTGCATGACAGGGTGAATCCCTGACAGTGTCCCACTGCCCTCTCCTCCCTTCGTCATTCCTTTTAACCATCAGGTGGAAGGCAGAGATGGAGTATCGCAGGAGAGTGCTCAAGAAGGAAAAGGCTCCTGCAGCGTATTGGAACTTCACGATTAAGGACCCGAGGAGGGACCTGTGTGTGAAGGGGCAGACCACGTGCAACTGGCGGGGGTACCTCAAACACTGGAACAAACGATGATAGGGAGAAAGTGGACGTGGCCTCCATTCTTTAGGCGCCTTCGAAATTAGGTGCCCGATCACTGGAAGAAGTGTTTATAGGGATTAAATGCTCGAAACACTCTAGCGATTATTATGTTGGTGTAGCTCTGGGCGTACCCTTTAACAGGCATGCACGAATTCTGGTGTGTGTGAGGAGGACGGAGCACAAGTGCCCAATAACCACCTACCTACTTCTTGTACCATATACGGTAAATGCCGCCAGCCTTCATCGCAATGGGTCGAGGGCATTGTAATACCGTACATACGTACAGGAGGAACTGGTAAGATGTACAGTGCAATTTGAAATGTGCAATTACTCAGATATTACGGTGCCAGTTATTGGAAGCCAACCAAGGCAGTGCAAAGAGCGCCCTAATAAGCAAGCCCTTGCTTGCTGTTAGAGAATTTCAAAGGAAGTCTGGTCACTGGTCCCCAAACCGTTCTTCCACAGCTAATGCAGCTAGTATATAGTACAAGATTGCACACAGCTATCTAATAGACAGACTGTAGTAGCCATTGGAGATGTTTCTGTTCTGTACTTCCACAGATAAATATTTCCTTGTGCTTGCTTCTATGGCGCCAGCAGCTTCAAGGCCTCAAAGGAGGTCTTGCTGCTGCCTTGGTGGTGCTGCCAGCGTTCCTCCCTCTACACTTCACAACGTGATCTTTCTCCTTGTGCTGCCAAATGTTGCTTGCTTTGAGCTTCTGGTGGGCTACAGCACCATCACGTGCATTCCATGCCTTCCCCTCCACACCACCCACCTTCACACGCGCTCCTGTGCTGCCTGCCTTGGGAATCCACCAGGGCAGCACCACTCTCAGCAGCAGCAGCAGCAGTGACGCGAGCAGCAAGTGCAGCTGCAGCAACAACAGCAGCGAGCGCAGCAGCAGCAGAAGGGAGGCTGGCAGTGCGTTGGGGCTGGCGTCAGCACCGTCCATCCTCACGTGCTTGCCACAACTCGTGTCGTTGCTGTTGCTGACAGAAAAGCTGACAGAAATCGTCTCCTTGCTGTCGTTGCTGCCAGTGCTCGTTTGGTCGCAGTCACTCCGCGAGTCTTCCGCCTCCCCTTCCTCCTCCTCTGCAGCAGGCGCGGAGCTCAGCGTCACTTGCAGCTGGGACTGCTCGTGAGTCGATTCACAAGTCGACTCAGAATTCGCCGAGGAAGTTAACTCGGAGAGCTCCTCGGGAATCGCCTGGGAAGTCGACTCCGAAGGTGACTCAAAAGTGGACTCCAAAGTCGCTTCAACTTCAGGAGTAGGCTCACAAGGCACCGCGCATGCAGTCGCGCAGCTCAGCGTCACTTCAACTTGCACGCAGGACGGCTTAACCGCCTCGCGGCTCCTCCAGGCGCTCAGCGCTTCCGCGAACGACGGGTACTCAGCGGACGACGAGGTGCATGCACGCACGGACGCGACGGCCATCCGAAGAACGCTCGAGGATATTGAGCGGCCTGCCGAAAGGCGAGTTCGAAACCGAGAATTGAAACTACTCGTACTGGAGAGAGAATCCAGAAAGAGATGAAAGCTTAGGCTTTACTTGATCCGGCTAGGATAGTAATGGCGCAGCTGTGGGATCTCGAAAGTGCGAGACCTGGCTGGAGAGCAACTGAGAAGGGAGAGTGTGAAACTGGCGATCAAGATCAGCCGGAGAGTTGAAACTTAGAGCGACGAATGAGGATGAGTAGAGGGAGTGCGGATTTGCACTCGCAAAGGCGATCGCAGGCGACGTGGGGAGAGCGAGAGGGTTGCTGCGACAAGGCGGGGTGGAGGAGAGCTGAGGCACTGGGAACTCACGCAGCGGGCAGGGACGGGCAGAACGAACTTGCGCAGTCGCTGTGCGGGCTCGCAGGGGAACGAAGCTAATTCCGAAGCATTGTCAAGCCTCTGGCCGTAGCCTCCGGGGACCTGACAGGACGGTTCAGTCCGATTGATTGCCTTGCCCAGACGGTGAGGCTCGTCCATTCGAGCCGAACCTGCCGGTTAAGCGGTTATGCAGGAAGGAGTTGCTAAGCGATTCGCTCTGGGAACTCACGCGGCGGGCAGGCATGGGCAGAACGAACTTGTGCGCTGTCGGTGCGGACGCTCATGTGGTTTCGCGAAACGGGAAGGGGAACGAAGCTATTTCCGAAGCTATCTGGCCGTGGCCTCCGGGGACCTGACAGAGCGGTGCAGTCCGGTGGCTTGCCTTTAGCTGACGGTGTGGATGGTCCTTTTTGACCAAACCTGCTGGCTAAGCGATTTTGCCAGGAGAAGTTGCGTCATCCCTGCTCCCGCTGCTCGCGACGGTCTGCATGTGCGAAGGCGGAGGCGAAACGCATTTACGACGGGATGGACAGACGCCGCCGACCCGAAACGCGTCTGGTTACTCTTCGTGGATCATCTACTTCGAAATGGCGGGAAGTGACTGCCAAGAAGTCATTTTGAATCGACTTCGACGGCAGTGCCTCAGGGACTAATGAGATGGGCTTCAAAACCATCAGTGGGGAGGGGGATGAACTCGAGATGGAAGATCGAGAATCTGTACTCCTTGTAGTATGTCTCTAGATAAAACACCTAAATGTGAACCACACAAAAACATCTCTTCGTCCAAATCTGATCGGAGTGCCCTTTTGTTTATTCGATTCTGAACGTCTTCTCCGAAGTTTAGTAAATTCAATGGTCAACCTTTCCCTCTGTATTTAGTCAGGTAGTAGCGCCAATCACGCATTTAATAGCGCCAATCACTAGCATAATGGTTTAGAACCCAGTTAGCATTACATGATTGGGCCATAATCCGGTTGGTGAGGAGAGAGCCATACGCTTGTAATGGTGTCTGCGTTTACTCCGTCCAGGGGCAGGCAGAGAAGGCAGCACACCTTTAGAAGTGCCCAGATATTGCCTTCTTGCATTGCCTTCCCCCACTGACCTCACCAAACCTACTGAGCCCACCGAGCCTACGGACCTCACCAAACCAACTGAACCCACCGAGCCTACTGACCTCGCTGCAGCTGCTCTAGTTAGTGGCAGCCAGGTCATGAGAGCATATGGGAGTATTTATGTAACACTAACCTCGCAATCACAGCAGCGGCATTCATACGTCAGCACCTACTGACAATACCGCAGCTGCCATAATCAGCTCAGATACCGCCTCGGGATTGCCACTCGCCAGAACCTTGCCGCAGCTGTCATAATCAGCTCATATAGTGTTTCCGGTTGCCACTTGCCAAAACCTTGCCGCAGCTGCTCTTTTCAGCACAAATACAGCCCCAAGATAACCGCTGCAGCTGCAGCTACAGCTACCCTATTAAGCTACCTGCAGCCCCTGTACTGGAGGCTCGGGTAGATTGTCTTTCACCCAGCGGCTTTTGAGGCGCCTCAAGAGGTGCACCTACTCTATTGGGCTGGCTGCAACTCGTCGTTTACCCAGCGGGCTTTGAGGCGCCCCAAGAGGTGCACTGCACCTACTCTACTGGGCTGGCTGCAACTCGCCGTTTACCCAGCGGGCCGGATGGTGGGGAGGCGTCCTGCGGACGTTTCTGCAAGTGGTTCTTGACGGGGGCGGCAGCGGGGGCGGGGCGAGGGGAGGAGAAGGAGAACTGCCGCGACGTGATGCCCTGCATGCGGTACTTGGGGTGGTCTGCTAGGAACCTGCAGGCGGAGAGAGGTGGAGAGGGGCGAAGAGAGTTGAGGGGGGGTGGAGGTGGATGTAGAGGGATAAAGAGGGGTGAAGTTACTGGAAAAAGGTGGTCTTGCTAGATGAGAGGGGAAGATGGATTCCATTCAGGTAGACTCATCCGCAAATTCTACGGCGCGTGCGGCCTTTTGAGTAGATCGAGAGACGGCTTTTGAGGCGGCCCAAGAGAGGTCAGGTGTGCTTTATGTAGGTTGAGAAAACGTAAGCGGATGGTGAGAGCAAAGACAGAGCAAGAAGGGGAGGGGGAAATGGAGGAGATCGAGGGGTGCTTTTTGATGCGCCTCAGAGGTAGGGGAGGATGGCGGAGATCGATGGGCGTGAGTGCGAATCATAAGAAGAGGAGAATGCATTGCTAGAATGGCTTTTGATGGGTCATAATATCGCAATGTACTAAAATCCGTCCCAATGAAGTAGTTCCGTCTCTGGCCCATCACGCTGCTGCAAGCAAAGCAAGCTAGCTCACCTTTCAACTTCATTGACAGGTCTAATCTAAACGACTCACCGTTCGACGTCATTGACTGATCTCAACGACTTGCCACAGGGCGAATGGTAGTACCTGATCAAGTGAGAAAAAAGGGTTCAACAAGAAGAAAAGAAAAGAAAAACGCAGAAAACGAGGGAGAGACAGGAGAGAGTCAAGGGGCCAGAGAGGCAAGCAGACGAGACTAGAATAAGCAGAACAAAGACAAGAAATCCAATGGGAAGAGGAGAAACGAGAGACGGACATAAAACCTACTTACCAGACGCATTATATAGTAAGCGAGAAATTGACACGTTTCCAAGTCTGAGAGTCCCGCGCAACATTTTGCAAAGATAAATGAGAAGCACAAGGCAGCCAGGTCACAAGGTTACATCCTAAAATGTTTTTGATGTTTTTTTTGTTGTTGTTTTTTTCCCTCCTAATAGCGTGTGCAACCTAGGAAACGGCCAAAACTTACACGTCCGAGAACTTCGCGGAAGAACCTCCGCGGAAGATTTTTGAGGCGCCTAAAAATTCGTCTCATGACTCGCGGTTTTTTAGGCGCCGAGGCGCCTCAGAAGCCGTTAACACTTACACGTCCGAGAACTTTGCGGAGGACCCTCCGCGAACAACGATGCGCCGCCGCCAGCCGGGGGGCGGCTGCGGGATATCCGGGCGGTCGAGCGCCCACATGTACGTGCCGTCCTGCACCAAATCCGGCTCGTCCGCGCACGAGCACGACGGCTTCCACCGCCGCGCGTGCGCGCACGTGAACGGCTCGATCGACACGCGCGCGCGAATGCTCTCGTATTCGTCGAGCGTCGGAACCTTGCGCCATTTGTAGCAGAGCGCGCATTGCACGGTGAACGCGACTAGGGTTGCCGTCGCGCGTTTGTTGGAGTCGGGCGGGGTGGCTGTAGCGGCGGCGGCGGCGGCGGCGCGCGGCGGAGTTGCTGCTACGGCTGGTGCCTCGTCGGCGGCGCCGCCTGCTGCGGCGGTGGTCGATTTTGCTGCTGGTGTGGCGAGTGGCGTTTCAATGGTCGCCATCTAGAGATAGAAGCAATCTTGGCCGTCAAAGCTAAAAATCCCTCCGTGCGAAACGGCTGTTGATCGACTCTCAAGTCCCTGGGTGAGATTACAACCTGTATGAGGCAGGCGAAGACTAAAAGTAGTAACCGCCGTGCAAAAGAAAACTCGACTCTAAGTTAGCGACGGTGAATGCAACAACGCAATTTCCTTGGTCCCTGGCGCGGCCCGCCCTCATGCAATGGCACTATATTATCTCTCCTACAAAATGGTTTGCTAAAATAAAGTGAAGGGATGGGCACCGGGACCCTACTTTGCGTTGGTGAACAAGCTTGCGTGCTCAACTACGCGCGTCAAGGGAATGCTAGGAAGGACTCAAACCTAGAAGCACGAGCAACTTTGCAAAGAGAGCTGTCTAGAGAACGTTACCTAGCCTGACATAGCACCGTATTCAAGTGCGCAGTACGGTACAATACACCCAAAGGCGTTTCCCGAGCCAGACCTCCGCAAATGTCTCAAGACCTGAGGTGCGATTTGCTCCATCCCTTCAAGTTAAAAACCTCCGTTGATGACACGAGTCATCTAACTCTCCCCCGAAGAACGCGCCCCTAACTGAATTAGGGTTACAGAGCGGATCGCGTTGGTTTGGAGAATTTTAGGCTGGGGGTCATACCTTCTTGTTGAAGTTCCTAGGACGCGGTTAATTATGGTAATCAAAGTTCGAGAGCGGTTGTAAGCTCTCTCTCAACGTTCTGATATACAGCTCCTAGTCAGTGGTGATCAAACTGAAGATAGCTGATGGTGGGGGTGGGTACGCATAAATAGGTACAACCCTGCTTCTCTGAAATTCTAAAACAATGCCTACGCCTGCATGCAATTAGAACCAGAAGCTTCCCTAATTTCAACAAGTACACCATACCACAAAAAGCAAAAACTAATAATTGGTCAAATTCTTTGCAGGCCACGTCACAGAAAAGAAGGAACAAAACAAACAGAATCCAGCTCCCACTTGATTTACTAGGACAAACAAAGTTTCTGAACAAACTGAGCATGAAGTATAATATCACTACTACCGTACTCCCAATCACAGGTTGTGCATGAGGTCAAAGCACCCACTCCCAACATCCACCACCCTCCCAAGCGCAATCCTCGACGACGGAGACTCCATCCTGTCAGTCTGCCCCTTGTACGCCGCATTGATCAAAAACTTGGTCGCCGTCTCAAAACTCATCTTTAGAATCGGTGACGGGTTCGCGTCAATCCCATTACGGTTACACGCGCGGTAACCGCCATCATACGTCATAAAATCCGCAATCAGACCCAAATGCCTTGGGTCCACCGCGATCCCGTACATCCCGAACACGCCCCGAACCTCCTTCACGATCGTCGCTCGCGCCGCCTCCACTCCAAGCGTCGTCAGAACCGCCGCGATGTGATTCGTCGAGAGGCGATTCAGATCCAGAACCCCTTCGTCGTCGTGCTTCCCCATGGTTGATACTGCGAGGTTCCAGAGACCAGGGAAGTTGAGTCCCTCGACTTGGATGCGGGGCGGCTGGCCTGGGGATGCTGGTTCGAGAGCGGCGCAGCGCTGCACTCCCGGGGTTGCTCGCACCACCACTGCTGCCGCCACCTTGTCCACGATCTGGAAAGAGAGTGAGAGAGAGGGTGATGGGGGTGGGGGTTGGGAGAAAGAGGAAACTGGTCATAATCACAAACCCTACTCATTGAAACCACAAACTCACCAAACCACGAACACAACATCACCTCGTTATAAGCACAACGTCTCATCTCACCTCATGGATGAGAACAGCGGGTGACGTCACCGGCACCGACAGCTCCATCTGCATCCACGTGTCGCCACCTGTCACCGTAGCCACCGCCACCTGCTTTTCCTTCCTCCTCCTCCTCGTCTTCTTCTCCCCCTCTTGCTCCGCCCCTTTCTCCCCCTTCTTCATCCCCTTCTTCGCCTTGCTATCCTTCTTCTTCCTCCCCTTCCCTTCTGCTGCTGCTCCTGCTGATTCTGCAGCAGCTGCTTTACCCGCCCCCACCTCTTCTTCCTCCTCCTCCTCGTCTTCCTCTTCCTCCTGTTCCTCCTCCTCTTCCTCCTCCTCCACCTTTACTTTACCTGCACTACCTGGCCCTCTCTTAGCAGAGCCCTTACCCTCCCCCTCTGCCTGCTCCACCCCCTCCTCTCCCTCCACCACTTCCTCCTCTTCCTCATCTTCCTCTTCTTCTTCCTCCTCTTCCTCCTCTTCCTCCTCCTCATACTCTTGTTCATCATCCCCTTGCCCGCGCTCCTTCTCAGCATCCTTCCCATCCTCCTCCCCTCCCTCCTCCTCTTCCTCCTCTTCCTCCGCTTCCCCATCAACCATCCCTTCCTTCTTCCCTCCCTTCTTACCTCCTTTCCTCTTCCCCTCCACCTCCCCTTCCCCCTCCCCATCCTCCCCCTCTCCCTCACCCCTTTCTTTCTCCCCACGGCCCTCAGCCATAACCACCACACCCCCACCTCCCGCCCGATCCAACGCCCTCTCAAGATCTTTCCCGACCCTGGGAGCAAACTCGTAACTGAACGCGGCCTTGATTTCTTCGAACTTGAGGTCAAGGTCGGCAGGGTAGCGGCTGGTGGGGTGAAAGGCCAGGCGGATGATGTAGCGCCTCGAGTTGCGACCTCCACCGTTGATCTGCACCAGATCTGTGCGCTCCGAGACATGGATGGCTGAGATCAGTTCGGCCATTGTGATCCGACGGAGCTTGTTGGCTATGCGTTGGGCGTCCTCACTGGCGGGAGGGCGGTGGAAGGGGATGGAAGGTGGTGGAAGGGGTTAGAAGGGGGTGGAGGGGGGTGGAAGTAAACGGGCTGACGATGCTAGACTCACACATAGACACACAAGCGAAGGGACGGGTACTCTAGATGTAGAAAGATCTCATGGGTGTGAAACAACGGGCCTCACCACACGGCCTACAGAACCACTCACAGCGTGAGGCCGTGCAGCAAGGGGCAGTCCATGACAGGCGTGGAGATGTTGCGAGGGGCACAGATGGCCGCACACATAGACTCATCACACGTAGACTCACAGGCAGACTCGACTGGCACTTAGACTGACAAAGAAACCATGAAGGACTCACAGGGTGCGGCCGGGCAGCAGGGGGCAGTCCATGACAGGCGTGGAGATGTTGCGAGGGGCACAGATGGCCGCACAGGCCGACTGAAGAATGGACGAACAGAACTCAGAAACGAGGACCCACTCACAACCCACAAAACAACTCACAGCGTGCGGCCGGGCAGCAGGGGGCAGTCCATGACAGGCGTGGAGATGTTGCGAGGCAGCGGTCATAAGAATCTCACGCATAGACTCACAGATAAACTTGCAAATAGACCCACTCACAACCCACAAAACAACTCACAGCGTGCGGCCGGGCAGCAGGGGGCAGTTCATGACAGGCGTGGAGATGTTGCGAGCAGCCGTCATGAGGATTTCTCGCAGGCGGGGAATCCCCAGAGTCACGTTTGCCTCTCCTCGCCCTGCGAAATGGAACGTGTTCAGCCTGGGGTTGGGGGGGAATGACAAGAATGGGAATCGCGGGAAGGGTAATGGGTGAGATGCAAGAGAGGAGGGGCTCTGAGGACTCAAGGGGTCTCTGACACAAACGGAAACCCCAAGAGCCACGTTCGCCTCTCCTCGCCCTGCAAAGTGAAACGTGTTCAGCCTGGGGTGGAAGGAAGAGGGTTGTGTGGAATGGGAAATGTGTGATAGAATCAAATTCGTTTGGAATGGATTGCATGAAAGAACCATGTGTGGCATGGCAACCATCTACTCCCAAGAGTCATATTCGTTTCATCCCACCAGAGTTGACTTTTGAGTCGACTCAAAAGTCAAGAACCATGTGTGGCATGGCAACTATCTAGTCCCAAGAGTCATATTCGTTTCATTCCACCGGGAACATGTTCAGCCTGATGTGGAAAGGGTGCGGAGTGGTGAACTGCGGTGTGGTGTGGTGGGTGCGGTACAGTGTGTGGTGCAGTGCAATGCGGTGCGTTCAAGTGTGGTGCAGTCCACTGCAGTGGTGCAGTCCCTATGTGGAACATGCTCAGCCTCAGCACTCACGCCAGCTTGCCACTCACGCCATCTTGCCACTCACGCCAGCTTGCCACTCACGCCATTTGTGTGGAGGGCTCCCACTGACTGAGCCGCCAGCACCCCCACCGGCTCACTCAAAAGTGCACTCACATCAACCCTGCACTCACTTCATCTGAGTGGAGGGTTCCCCTACTGACTGAGCCGCCAGCACCCCTACAGACTCTACAGAACAGCATGCAACCTTCCTCGTACTCACATCAACCGTGCACTCACGTCATTCCCGCACTCACATCGCATCATCTGGCACCCCACTCACGTCAGTCAGCTTGCCACTCACGTCATCTGTGTGGAGGGTTCCCCGACTGATTGAGCCGCAAGCACCCCCACCGGCTCCCCTGGTTGCACAGTGGACGCCAGATACTTCATCTCCAGCACCTCTCTCAACCGCTCTGCATCCTTCTTCTTCCCCTTCTTCCCGGCTCCCTTCGCACCCTTCCCCAGAACCGCCGACTGCAGAAACTTCTCGGACGCAGCCTCAAAGGCGGGGGAAACAACCCCGAGCTTCGATCCGGGACACTCCACATCCATCACCTCTGCTGCCTCTGTTGCCGCTGTTGCTGTTTCTGCTGGGTCTGCTGAATCAGCACCAGCGGTGGCACGCGGAGGCATCGTCTCGAGGCCGAGAGCCTTGGCTTCGTCCAATCGGAGGGCCGATGCCACCTGCTGCTCATTCTGTTGGAGGGAGAGAGGGAGAAAGAGAGGAGGGAAATGACTCCGAGCTTCGACCCTGGGCACTCCACATCAAAATCACCTCTGCTGCCTCTGTTGCTGCTGCTGCTGCTGCTGCTGCTGCTGGGTCTGCTGAATCAGCAGCAGCAATGGCACGGGGAGGCATTGTCTCGAGCCCGAGAGCCTTGGCCTCGTCCAATCGGAGAGCTGATGCCACCTGCTGCTCATTCTGTTGTTGGGGGGGGGGGTGGGTGGGGTGGGGGTGGGGTTCAGGGTTCAGACAAGGCTCGGGTGAAACGACACAGAGCTTCGACCCTGGGCACTCCACATCCATCACCTCTGCTGCAGCTGTTGCTGTTTCTGCTGGGTCTGCAGTGCCACGGGAAGGCATTGTCTCGAGGCCGAGAGCCTTGGCTTCGTCCAATCGGAGGGCCGATGCCACCTGTTGCTCATTCTGTTGATGGGTTTCAGTTCGGGGTTTACAAGTTTCCAGGGGTTTCACACAGGAGAGGGAGGAATGGAGAGAGGGGATGAGTGATTGAATGAGCACATGGGTTTTTGCGTGTGTCTGTGGCTGCACGTTATGAGCTCAAACCAGTCCAGATCACAGCTCACACACTTCCTTTTAGCACACATCACAGCACAGCACAGCACAGCACAGCACAGCATGGCTCAACGCACCTCAACACACCACGCACGCAGCATAGCATACCTCTTTGATGAATTCAAAGTTGGTGAGGAAAGAGGTCCGGCTGGTGTCGATCGCATCTTCGCCGTATCGGAAGATGTCCCAATGGACGATGGACGCGTCACTGTCCCACACAGCACCACACCGCGCCACACCGCACCACACCACAACGCACCTCTTTGATGAACTCGAAGTTGGTGAGGAAAGAGGTCCGGCTGGTGTCGATCACATCTTCGCCGTATCGGAAGTTGTCCCAATGGACGATGGACGCTTCACTGTCCCAATGGATAGCTGCTCCACTACCAGAACCCACAGCATATCACCCAAAACACACCAGCACACCTCTTTAATAAACTCGAAGTTGGTGAGGAAGGACGTCCGGCTGGTGTCAATGGCATCCTCTCCGTATCGGAACTGCACGATGGACGCATCGCTGTCCCACACAGCACCACACTGCACTGCACCGCGCCGCACCACTCCGTACCTCTTTAATAAACTCGAAGTTTGTCAGGAAAGACGTCCGGCTGGTGTCGATGGCATCTTCTCCGTACCGGAACTGCTGCACGATGGACGCATCGCTGTCCCTCACCGCACCACAGTCCAACGCACCACACCACACAGCACAGTCCAACGCACCACACCACACAGCACAGTCCAACGCACCACACCACACAGCACAGTCCAACGCACCACACCACACAGCACAGTCCAACGCACCACACCACACAGCACAGTCCAACGCACCACACCACACAGCACAGTCCAACGCACCACACCACACAGCACAGTCCAACGCACCACACCACACAGCACAGTCCAACGCACCACACCACACAGCACAGTCCAACGCACCACACCACACAGCACAGTCCAACGCACCACACCACACAGCACAGTCCAACGCACCACACCACACAGCACAGTCCAACGCACCACACCACACAGCACAGTCCAACGCACCACACCACACAGCACAGTCCAACGCACCACACCACACAGCACAGTCCAACGCACCACACCACACAGCACAGTCCAACGCACCACACCACACAGCACAGTCCAACGCACCACACCACACAGCACAGTCCAACGCACCACACCACACAGCACAGTCCAACGCACCACACCACACAGCACAGTCCAACGCACCACACCACACAGCACAGTCCAACGCACCACACCACACAGCACAGTCCAACGCACCACACCACACAGCACAGTCCAACGCACCACACCACACAGCACAGTCCAACGCACCACACCACACAGCACAGTCCAACGCACCACACCACACAGCACAGTCCAACGCACCACACCACACAGCACAGTCCAACGCACCACACCACACAGCACAGTCCAACGCACCACACCACACAGCACAGTCCAACGCACCACACCACACAGCACAGTCCAACGCACCACACCACACAGCACAGTCCAACGCACCACACCACACAGCACAGTCCAACGCACCACACCACACAGCACAGTCCAACGCACCACACCACACAGCACAGTCCAACGCACCACACCACACAGCACAGTCCAACGCACCACACCACACAGCACAGTCCAACGCACCACACCACACAGCACAGTCCAACGCACCACACCACACAGCACAGTCCAACGCACCACACCACACAGCACAGTCCAACGCACCACACCACACAGCACAGTCCAACGCACCACACCACACAGCACAGTCCAACGCACCACACCACACAGCACAGTCCAACGCACCACACCACACAGCACAGTCCAACGCACCACACCACACAGCACAGTCCAACGCACCTCTTTGATGAACTCGAAGTTGGTGAGGAAAGAGGTCCTGCTGGTGTCGATCGCGTCCTCTCCATATCGGAACTGCACAATCGATGCATCGCTGTCCCGCACGCTGTAGTCGTAGTGCACCCTCAGCCCCTCCAGGTTCTTCACCAGGCACCGCTGCAGGTACCCACTGCGGGATGTCTTGACCGTTGTGTCCACGAGCCTGGGGGTTATGGAGCAAGCATGAGGGGAGGGAAATGGAGGGGGCGGGATAAGGCCGCTGTTGTGCGCGCTGTAGTCGTAGTGCACACGCAACCCCTCCAGGTTCTTCACCAGACACCGCTGCAGGTACCCACTGCGAGACGTCTTCACTGTTGTATCCACCAGCCTGGGGGTTATGGGGTAAGTGGAGGGACGACAGGAACGGAGGGCAGAGACAAGGCATCAGAAGCATGTCCCGCACGCTGTAGTCGTGTCATAGTGCACACACAGCCCTTCCAAGTTCTTCACCAGGCATCTCTGCAGGTACCCACTGCGGGATGTCTTCACTGTCGTATCCACCAGCCTGACGGGGCGTTAAGGGCAAGCGGAGGGAGGAAGGAAGAGAAGACAGGGAGAAGACCACTCACCCATCACCAGTCGGCACCAGACGGCACCAGACGGCACCAGTCGGCACCAGTCGGCACCAGTCAGCACCAGACGGCACCAGTCGGCACCAGACGGCACCAGTCGGCACCAGTCGGCACCACACGGCACCAGACGGCACCAGTCGGCACCAGACGGCACCAGACGGCACCAGACGGCACCAGTCGGCACCAGTCGGCACCAGACGGCACCAGTCGGCACCAGACGGCACCGGATGCCCTTGCTGCACTGGAACCTCCTTCCATTGCAACTGCCTATTCACACATACACCCACCATCGCCCAGCACTCAACCACATACCCGTCTCTGCCAGCCATGCAGTGGAAATAGTACTCTTGAGGCCTTAAACCAGTCAGGAACCTATCGGCAATGAACCCGCTGCTCCGCCTCAAAGCAAGGCAGAGTCTTCCCCGACGCCATCCGCGGCACTCGCTTCCCCTCCAGCTCCTGCTGCCCCAGCAATGACAGCACTACAGCACCACACCACACACAGCACTCGCTCACTCGCTCGCTCACTCACTCACTCACTCACTCACTCACTCACTCGTTCACTCACTCATTCACGCACGCACTCACCCGTCTCTGCCTGCCATGCAATGGAAGTAATATTCCTGCGGCCGCAATCCAGTAAGAAATCGATCAGCAATGAACCCGCCCGCCCGGGCCTCGCTGCTCCACGCCTCAAAGCAAGGCAGAGTCTTCCCCGACGCCATCCGTGGCACGCGCTTCCCCTCCAGCTCCTGCTGCCCCAGCAGCACCGCAATCTGGTTGAAATTCACGCCGCTGCCCTTGGCGCCCGTGACCGTCATCAGCGACATGCAATTGGCCGGGAAAGGTTTCAGCTGCCCGTCGGGCAGCGCGGCGGAGGTTGCGGCGGTGGTGACCTTGCTGAGAGCGGAGGTCATCCGGTTGTCGAGTGCGGCTGTGGCCGCGTCTTTCCGCGTGCGCAGTTGTAATGCCACGTGCTCCCTCACCCACTCCTTGTTGGCAGCTGCGAAAACAGTGAAACGAAATGAAAAGGGAGGAAAAGGGAAGGGGTAGGAAAAGGACAATGGGGAAAGGGGAAGAAAAGGGGAAGGGGAATCGCAAAGAGGAAGGGAAGGGGGAGGCAAAGGGGAAGGGAAGGGAAGGGGAAGGGAAGGGGAGTGGGGGTGAGTGAGAGAGCGAGGAGTTTGCGGCGGTGGTGACCTTGCTGAGGGCAGGCATCATTCGGTGAGCCCAGCCCCACGTAGTGAGAGTGCACAGGGTCCGTCCGTGGTAGGTCCCCTGAGATACCCTGATCACACTATGACTCGCCTCAGAGCTCAACTCACACTCCACCTTCTTCCCGGTGAGCCCCACGAACTGAGCGTGCACGGGGTGACTGCCTTTCAAGTTGACTGCTTGTTTCTTTTATCCGACTCTCATTGCCTGATTATCACACACTCTCAGCCTTCTTCCCAGTGAGCCCAACAAACTGAGCGTGCACGGGATCCCCAATGCTGTCCGCACGAAATATGATAGCAATAGTTACTACAGAGTAATTAATGAGACTCACTCTCCGCCTTCTTCCCAGTGAGCCCCACGAACTGTGCGTGCACGGGATCCCCGATGCTGTCCGCGCGCGATATGATTGCCTCCCGCTCCGCCTCTGCCGGCGCTGTCAGCAGCAGATCGCCCACCCCGCAGGTGAACCCGCGGATCTGAGGGGGAGTGAGGAGGGTTGGGGTGAGAAGGTTTGGGAAGGATGGTTTGAGGGCCACGAGCAGTGACATGACATGTGCAAACAGAAATCGCCTCAAGAATCAGAAACGCTCACGAAGCAGTTGCAAGGGGGAATTTTCTCTTGCACACACACCCCTCCCCTCCCCCCCCCCCCCCAAAAAAAAAAAACCTGGAGGAAGGTGGTGAGAAGGCGGCTGAGAGAGGAGAGCAGTTTCCCCGCGGCAGGGCAGCCGTAGAGCTCCTGGAAGCAGTGCACGAGGCCGAAGCGGGCGAACTGCGCCTTGTCAAACACCCCTGTCACCACCTCGCCGCCCCGCACCTGGTGGGATAGGAGGGTGGGGGAAAGGGTGCAGAAGCGTCAGCAGCAGCAGCAGCAGCAGCAGTGGTGGCAGCGGTAATAGCAGCAGCGGGGTGTGGTGGCAGCAGCAGCAGCAGTAGCAGCGGTGGCAGCATCATGAGGAGCAGCAGGGCAGCCGTAGAGCTCCTGGAAGCAGTGCACGAGGCCGAAGCGGGCGAACTGCGCCTTGTCAAACACTCCCGTCACCACCTCGCCGCCCCGCACCTGGAGGGATGGGGCGGAGGGTGATTATTTGTGCAGCAGCATGTGAGTGAGGATGAATGTACTTGTGTGTCAGAACTTGGACAAAAAACTGCTCACCAGCAGCAGAGGCGCATTGGTCTCCCATCTGCTAGCCCTCTGCCTTTGCAGCTACCTACACTACACACCTACTCACCCGCAGTGTGGCGTCCTCCTGCCGCCCCTTGCCCCAATAGCGCGCCGACACCTTGCACGCCACCTCCATTGTCATTGGCTGCTGCCCCTCCGTCAGCAGCTGTAGCAGCGCGGTGATCACCTGGGGACGGGATGGAGAGAGAGAGAGGAGGAGAGGGAGAGGACGGGAGGACGTACGGGAGTGGGAATGGGAAGAGAGGAGGTGAGAGGTGAAATAGACACCATCGTTGCATGGCAGCTGCCATTGTCAACAGCTGCTGCCCCTCTGTCAGCAGCTGCAGCAGCGCCGTGATCTCCTGGGGGGCAGGGGAAAGAGAGGAAGGAGATGACAAAAAGGAAGAACGGGAGAGGATCCCTGCATGCTCACCTGCTTGCCAGTCCACAGCGGCTGCGGCTTCACGACAGCAGGGGGGTGGCATGGTGATGGCAGCAGCACACCCCTCGTTCCTTGGCCCTCACCACCTCCCCACACTCACCAGCTCTCCCGTCGCTCACCTGCTTGCCAGTCCACAGCGGTTGCGGCTTCACGACAGCAGGGGGCGGCATGGTGATGGCAGCACCGGCATCAGGGAGGGCGCGGATCCTCCTGGGTGCTGCTGCTGCTGCTGCCGTGCCTGCTGGGTCGACTGCAGCAGTAGTGGTGCCTGGAGGGACGGTGGTGGTGGCGGTGGCAGTGGCACCATCAGCCGGAGGAGGAGCATTGGCAGCAGCAGCAGCAGCTGCATCAGCACCACCAACAGCAGCTGCACCATCAGCAAGGGCGGGAGCAGCAGCAGCACCAGCAGCAGCCCCCACGGGGGCAGTGGCACCATCAGCAGCAGTCGTTGCACCAGCAGCACCAGCAGCAGCGGCAGGAGCAGCGGCAGCGGCGGGTTTGGCAGGTGGGGCTTGGAAAGGGGTGTCGGGCGGGGGGATGCAAGCGGAGAAGAGCAGGTGCTGGAATTCGGTGCGCGTGAGCAGCGTTCCTGGCGAGGTGAGGAGAGTTGCCGCGATAATATGGTCCTGGTGGGGGGAGGGGTATGTGGGGAGAATAGGCAGCAATGGAAGGGGCAATTAATGTGTGTGGGCAAGCGGAGAAGAGCAGGTGCTGGAACTCTGTGCGCGTGAGCAGCGTGCCTGGCGATGTGAGGAGCGTTGCCGCGATAATGTGCTCCTGATGGGGTAAGGTGTGGGAGAGTAGGCAAGAACAGGGCAGAGATATGAGCAGGTGCTGGAACTCGGTGCGCGTGAGTAGCGTGCCGGCTGATGTGAGGAGCATATGAGAGGCTGTGAGTTGACATGACAGAACACTCAAATACAACCTTCCCCAGCTGAACCCTCACCTGAATGAGCCCTCCAGCAGGCAGTCCGTTGGTGGCAGTGTGTACTGTAAGCCAGCGTCTATTATCGAGTACGCTGAAAACGAGGATATCTGTCAGCATCGTCAGTGACGATTCTTTCAATACACTCAGATACAACCGCCCCTAGCTGCACCCTCACCTGAATGAGCCCTCGGGCAGGCAGCCCATTGGTGGGCAGTATGTACTGTAAGTCAGCGTCTACTATCGAGTATGCTTCTGCTCGCCCCAGGGAGTCCTGAGGCAGATGCACGTTCATCTCGTCCCCGTCAAAGTCCGCGTTGTACACACTGCGGTGACGAGGGGTGAAGGGGGGTGAGAAGGGGTGACGAGGCGTAGAGGAGGGTGAAGAGTGGTGAGGAAGGGCATGCAACACGAGGTTTGCAATGAACATGCAAATGCATTGCGATCGACAGGAAACACGCACTCGCTCTGTGAGAGGCAGTGAAGCCATCAGGTGGCATCTCACTTGCAATAAGCATCAGCGGGAAACTCACTTGCAGTTGGCGTAGTGCAGGCGCAGGGTCTTCTCCCCCTTGAGGATCTTCACTCGGTGCGCCATGATACCAGGGCGATGCAGCGTGGGCTGCAGGCAAAGAGGGGGCAGGCAGGGGAAGAATTAGGGAAAAAGGAGGGTTTAAGTGTGAGTCAGCCGCAGGGTCTTCTCCCCCTTGAGGATCTTCACTCGATATGCCCGGGCGATGCAGCGTGGGCTGTAGGGAGAGAGGAGAAAGATCAGGCAAAAGAAAAAAAGGGGTAAGAATGAAGCAGCGTGGGTGGGAGACGATGCCTGGCTCTGAGGCGAGCTGAGGCAGTGATGATAGGCAGGGACGATGCCTATCATCCCTCATGCGCAGTGCAGATACATGGTAACTTTTGGCTTTACCTTAAAGTCAAATCTCCCTCACCTGTCGGATAACCAGCACCGCGTTGCCATCCCTCATGTGCTGATACATGGCAACTATGGGGTTTGACCTGAAATAGAATTGCTGCTTTCCCTCACCTGTCGGTTAACCAGCACCACATCTCCATCCCGCATGTGCCGATACACCGACTTCACCGTTGCCTGTGAGTCAACTGTGAAGTCAGCTCGTTACCGGTTCGTTCCCCTCACCTGTCGGTTAACCAGCACCACATCGCCATCCCGCATGTGCCGATACACCGACTTCACCATCGCATGTTTATGTTTGAGTCAGATTCATTCACATTTAACTCACTGCTACACCACACACCACACGACTCAACTATCTCACCTGTCGGTTAACCAGCACCACGTCGCCATCCCTCATGTGTCGATACACCGATTTCACCATCGCGCGCCGCACATGCACCCCCTTCCCCTCCACCGCAGCTCCCTCCCCTCCCGCCTTCTTCCCCTCGCCGTCCTTCACGTGGACACCTGTCGCGCGCTGATTGGCCGCCAGCGCAGCAGCAGAGGGCGTGGAGAGGAGCGTGCGGGCGAGGGCCCTCCGGCGGTCGGGGTTGAGGTTGGCGAGGGAGACGAGCTGCCCCCTCTCGTCCTCCACGTGTGTGGCTCCGGGTAACACGTCCGCCCCGTTCTCCACGAGTCGTGCCAGATACTCCACGTTCCAATCCGTTACGGTCTGGAGATGGGCCAAAGGCGGTGGGGCGGGGGAGGGGAAGGGCAGGGCAGGAACAAGAGGAGACAGTGGAAAGGAGAGGGAGGAGGAAGGGGAAAATGGGGTGGAGAGCAGCAGCAGAGGGGGTGGAGAGGAGTGTGAGACAGTGAGCTCTCAAGTGGTCGGGGTTGAGGTGGGCGAGGGAGACGAGCTGCCCCCTCTCGTCCTCCACGTGTGTGGCTCCGGGTAACACGTCCGCCCCGTTCTCCACGAGTCGTGCCAGATACTCCACGTTCCAATTCGTCACGGTCTGGAGTGGTAGAGAGTGGTGGAGGGGTTTGGTGGGAGGGGGTTGGGTGGCCGTAAAGGATAGAAGCCCGTTCTCCACCAGCCTTGCCAGATATTCCACGTTCCAATCCGTCACCGTCTGGATTATTAGAGGAGAGTGGGACAGAGGAGGGTCGGGGAGGGGGGAGGAGTTTGGAAAGGATGGGGAATGGGAAAGGCCCATTCGTCACCAGCCTTGCAAAACCTCCACGTTCCAATCCGTTACAGTCTGGTTACCCAAACGTGACAAGTGCTTACCTGAGCACGGCTTAGTACCACCCGAAAGCAAAAGCGAAAATAACATCTGCTTACCGGAGAGAATACCTCAGTTTCTGTTTCACTACCTGAGCATCTCTCTGTTTCACAAGCACATGCTTACCTCAGCGTACGTGAGTCGCTTGGCAAAGACGGGCGGCACTCCGATCTCGTTCACCTGATTTGATTCGGGTGAACAGTGTGGGGGGCGGGATCGCAAAGAAGTGAGGGGCGTGGGTTGCAATGCAGTGAGGGGACTGGACTGCGAAGCAGCACCATTATTTTTGGTAGAGAGCAAGGCCGGGAAGGGGGGGAGGGTGGTGGTGACATGGCAGGGTGGTGGTGACATGGCAGGGTGGTGGTGACATGGCAGGGTGGTGGTGACATGGCAGGGTGGTGGTGACATGGCAGGGTGGTGGTGACATGGCAGGGTGGTGGTGACATGGCAGGGTGGTGGCGCCAACCCAAACTGGAAAGTTATTTGGGGTCCAAAAGGACAAACTACCCCACTGGGTGTAGATACATGGAGTCTAAAACGCCAATTTCCCACCTGGATGTAGGGGTCAGGCGAGATGACGGAGCGACAGGCGTAGTTGACGCGCTTGCCCATCATGTTCATTCGAAGGGCGGTGTACCATGCCAGACATGCCAAACACGCCAAACATGGAGAGCAGCCAAACATGCCCCACAGACAGACAGACCTGGATGTAGGGGTCGGGCGAGATGACGGAGCGGCAGGCGTAGTTGACACGCTTGCCCATCATGTTCATTCGAAACAGCCCCTCCTTCTTCTCCAGCTGCTGCCGTATGCCGTTCGCCGGGTCCTTCTGTGAGCCTGCACACGCGTTGGTGGGGAAACGCGGGGTGAGGAGTTGGATGGGGTTGGATGGGGTTGGAAGGGGTTGGACGGGGCGCAGGGGAGGAGCGGCCTGTGTTAATGGCAGCAGACAGAACAGCCCCTCCTTCTTCTCCAGCTGCTGCCGTATGCCATTGGCCGGGTCCTTCTGTGAGTCTGCACACACGTTGGTGGAGAAACGCGGGGTGGGGAGTTGGATGGGGTTGGAAGGGGTTGGACGGGGCGCAGGGGAGGAGCAGCCTGTGTTTATGGCAGCAGACAGAACAGCCCCTCCTTCTTCTCCAGCTGCTGCCGTATGCCATTGGCCGGGTCCTTCTGTGAGTCTGCACACACGTTGGTGGAGAAACGCGGGGTGGGGAGTTGGATGGGGTTGGAAGGGGTTGAAAGGGGCGCAGGGGAGGAGCAGCCTGTGTTTATGGCAGCAGACAGAACAGCCCCTCCTTCTTCTCCAGCTGCTGCCGTATGCCGTTCGCCGGGTCCCTCTGCGAGCCTGCACTCAAATAAGGGGGAGAAAAGCGAAAGATGGGCGGCGTGTGGAAGGTTCGTGTGACACCATGTGATACCATGTGATACCATGTGATACCATGTGATACCATGTGACACCATGTGATACCATGTGACACCATGTGACACCATGTGACACCATGTGATACCATGTGATACCATGTGACACCATGTGATACCATGTGATACCATGTGATACCATGTGATACCATGTGACACCATGTGATACCATGTGACACCATGTGACACCATGTGACACCATGTGATACCATGTGATACCATGTGACACCATGTGATACCATGTGATACCATGTGACACCATGTGATACCATGTGATACCATGTGATACCATGTGACACCATGTGACACCTTTCCATCTACTCACCGAGGCCGCTTATGCCCATGCATGCACTCACTCAGGCTGCTATCCAGGAAGCAGCTGACGTGGTGCTGCAGCTGCAGCCACGCAATCGCCTGTGAGTCCCACCCATGTCAAACCAACCAATTCATGCCTTCCTTCCCCACCACTCACTGCCACTGAGCCACTGCCTGCCCACCCACCACTCACTGCCACTGAGCCACTGCCTGCCCACCCACCACTCACTGCCACTGAGCCACTGCCTGCCCACCCACCACTCACTGCCACTGAGCCACTGCCTGCCCACCCACCACTCACTGCCACTGAGCCACTGCCTGCCCACCCACCACTCACTGCCACTGAGCCACTGCCTGCCCACCCACCACTCACTGCCACTGAGCCACTGCCTGCCCACCCACCACTCACTGCCACTGAGCCACTGCCTGCCCACCCACCACTCACTGCCACTGAGCCACTGCCTGCCCACCCACCACTCACTGCCACTGAGCCACTGCCTGCCCACCCACCACTCACTGCCACTGAGCCACTGCCTGCCCACCCACCACTCACTGCCACTGAGCCACTGCCTGCCCACCCACCACTCACTGCCACTGAGCCACTGCCTGCCCACCCACCACTCACTGCCACTGAGCCACTGCCTGCCCACCCACCACTCACTGCCACTGAGCCACTGCCTGCCCACCCACCACTCACTGCCACTGAGCCACTGCCTGCCCACCCACCACTCACTGCCACTGAGCCACTGCCTGCCCACCCACCACTCACTGCCACTGAGCCACTGCCTGCCCACCCACCACTCACTGCCACTGAGCCACTGCCTGCCCACCCACCACTCACTGCCACTGAGCCACTGCCTGCCCACCCACCACTCACTGCCACTGAGCCACTGCCTGCCCACCCACCACTCACTGCCACTGAGCCACTGCCTGCCCACCCACCACTCACTGCCACTGAGCCACTGCCTGCCCACCCACCACTCACTGCCACTGAGCCACTGCCTGCCCACCCACCACTCACTGCCACTGAGCCACTGCCTGCCCACCCACCACTCACTGCCACTGAGCCACTGCCTGCCCACCCACCACTCACTGCCACTGAGCCACTGCCTGCCCACCCACCACTCACTGCCACTGAGCCACTGCCTGCCCACCCACCACTCACTGCCACTGAGCCACTGCCTGCCCACCCACCACTCACTGCCACTGAGCCACTGCCTGCCCACCCACCACTCACTGCCACTGAGCCACTGCCTGCCCACCCACCACTCACTGCCACTGAGCCACTGCCTGCCCACCCACCACTCACTGCCACTGAGCCACTGCCTGCCCACCCACCACTCACTGCCACTGAGCCACTGCCTGCCCACCCACCACTCACTGCCACTGAGCCACTGCCTGCCCACCCACCACTCACTGCCACTGAGCCACTGCCTGCCCACCCACCACTCACTGCCACTGAGCCACTGCCTGCCCACCCACCACTCACTGCCACTGAGCCACTGCCTGCCCACCCACCACTCACTGCCACTGAGCCACTGCCTGCCCACCCACCACTCACTGCCACTGAGCCACTGCCTGCCCACCCACCACTCACTGCCACTGAGCCACTGCCTGCCCACCCACCACTCACTGCCACTGAGCCACTGCCTGCCCACCCACCACTCACTGCCACTGAGCCACTGCCTGCCCACCCACCACTCACTGCCACTGAGCCACTGCCTGCCCACCCACCACTCACTGCCACTGAGCCACTGCCTGCCCACCCACCACTCACTGCCACTGAGCCACTGCCTGCCCACCCACCACTCACTGCCACTGAGCCACTGCCTGCCCACCCACCACTCACTGCCACTGAGCCACTGCCTGCCCACCCACCACTCACTGCCACTGAGCCACTGCCTGCCCACCCACCACTCACTGCCACTGAGCCACTGCCTGCCCACCCACCACTCACTGCCACTGAGCCACTGCCTGCCCACCCACCACTCACTGCCACTGAGCCACTGCCTGCCCACCCACCACTCACTGCCACTGAGCCACTGCCTGCCCACCCACCACTCACTGCCACTGAGCCACTGCCTGCCCACCCACCACTCACTGCCACTGAGCCACTGCCTGCCCACCCACCACTCACTGCCACTGAGCCACTGCCTGCCCACCCACCACTCACTGCCACTGAGCCACTGCCTGCCCACCCACCACTCACTGCCACTGAGCCACTGCCTGCCCACCCACCACTCACTGCCACTGAGCCACTGCCTGCCCACCCACCACTCACTGCCACTGAGCCACTGCCTGCCCACCCACCACTCACTGCCACTGAGCCACTGCCTGCCCACCCACCACTCACTGCCACTGAGCCACTGCCTGCCCACCCACCACTCACTGCCACTGAGCCACTGCCTGCCCACCCACCACTCACTGCCACTGAGCCACTGCCTGCCCACCCACCACTCACTGCCACTGAGCCACTGCCTGCCCACCCACCACTCACTGCCACTGAGCCACTGCCTGCCCACCCACCACTCACTGCCACTGAGCCACTGCCTGCCCACCCACCACTCACTGCCACTGAGCCACTGCCTGCCCACCCACCACTCACTGCCACTGAGCCACTGCCTGCCCACCCACCACTCACTGCCACTGAGCCACTGCCTGCCCACCCACCACTCACTGCCACTGAGCCACTGCCTGCCCACCCACCACTCACTGCCACTGAGCCACTGCCTGCCCACCCACCACTCACTGCCACTGAGCCACTGCCTGCCCACCCACCACTCACTGCCACTGAGCCACTGCCTGCCCACCCACCACTCACTGCCACTGAGCCACTGCCTGCCCACCCACCACTCACTGCCACTGAGCCACTGCCTGCCCACCCACCACTCACTGCCACTGAGCCACTGCCTGCCCACCCACCACTCACTGCCACTGAGCCACTGCCTGCCCACCCACCACTCACTGCCACTGAGCCACTGCCTGCCCACCCACCACTCACTGCCACTGAGCCACTGCCTGCCCACCCACCACTCACTGCCACTGAGCCACTGCCTGCCCACCCACCACTCACTGCCACTGAGCCACTGCCTGCCCACCCACCACTCACTGCCACTGAGCCACTGCCTGCCCACCCACCACTCACTGCCACTGAGCCACTGCCTGCCCACCCACCACTCACTGCCACTGAGCCACTGCCTGCCCACCCACCACTCACTGCCACTGAGCCACTGCCTGCCCACCCACCACTCACTGCCACTGAGCCACTGCCTGCCCACCCACCACTCACTGCCACTGAGCCACTGCCTGCCCACCCACCACTCACTGCCACTGAGCCACTGCCTGCCCACCCACCACTCACTGCCACTGAGCCACTGCCTGCCCACCCACCACTCACTGCCACTGAGCCACTGCCTGCCCACCCACCACTCACTGCCACTGAGCCACTGCCTGCCCACCCACCACTCACTGCCACTGAGCCACTGCCTGCCCACCCACCACTCACTGCCACTGAGCCACTGCCTGCCCACCCACCACTCACTGCCACTGAGCCACTGCCTGCCCACCCACCACTCACTGCCACTGAGCCACTGCCTGCCCACCCACCACTCACTGCCACTGAGCCACTGCCTGCCCACCCACCACTCACTGCCACTGAGCCACTGCCTGCCCACCCACCACTCACTGCCACTGAGCCACTGCCTGCCCACCCACCACTCACTGCCACTGAGCCACTGCCTGCCCACCCACCACTCACTGCCACTGAGCCACTGCCTGCCCACCCACCACTCACTGCCACTGAGCCACTGCCTGCCCACCCACCACTCACTGCCACTGAGCCACTGCCTGCCCACCCACCACTCACTGCCACTGAGCCACTGCCTGCCCACCCACCACTCACTGCCACTGAGCCACTGCCTGCCCACCCACCACTCACTGCCACTGAGCCACTGCCTGCCCACCCACCACTCACTGCCACTGAGCCACTGCCTGCCCACCCACCACTCACTGCCACTGAGCCACTGCCTGCCCACCCACCACTCACTGCCACTGAGCCACTGCCTGCCCACCCACCACTCACTGCCACTGAGCCACTGCCTGCCCACCCACCACTCACTGCCACTGAGCCACTGCCTGCCCACCCACCACTCACTGCCACTGAGCCACTGCCTGCCCACCCACCACTCACTGCCACTGAGCCACTGCCTGCCCACCCACCACTCACTGCCACTGAGCCACTGCCTGCCCACCCACCACTCACTGCCACTGAGCCACTGCCTGCCCACCCACCACTCACTGCCACTGAGCCACTGCCTGCCCACCCACCACTCACTGCCACTGAGCCACTGCCTGCCCACCCACCACTCACTGCCACTGAGCCACTGCCTGCCCACCCACCACTCACTGCCACTGAGCCACTGCCTGCCCACCCACCACTCACTGCCACTGAGCCACTGCCTGCCCACCCACCACTCACTGCCACTGAGCCACTGCCTGCCCACCCACCACTCACTGCCACTGAGCCACTGCCTGCCCACCCACCACTCACTGCCACTGAGCCACTGCCTGCCCACCCACCACTCACTGCCACTGAGCCACTGCCTGCCCACCCACCACTCACTGCCACTGAGCCACTGCCTGCCCACCCACCACTCACTGCCACTGAGCCACTGCCTGCCCACCCACCACTCACTGCCACTGAGCCACTGCCTGCCCACCCACCACTCACTGCCACTGAGCCACTGCCTGCCCACCCACCACTCACTGCCACTGAGCCACTGCCTGCCCACCCACCACTCACTGCCACTGAGCCACTGCCTGCCCACCCACCACTCACTGCCACTGAGCCACTGCCTGCCCACCCACCACTCACTGCCACTGAGCCACTGCCTGCCCACCCACCACTCACTGCCACTGAGCCACTGCCTGCCCACCCACCACTCACTGCCACTGAGCCACTGCCTGCCCACCCACCACTCACTGCCACTGAGCCACTGCCTGCCCACCCACCACTCACTGCCACTGAGCCACTGCCTGCCCACCCACCACTCACTGCCACTGAGCCACTGCCTGCCCACCCACCACTCACTGCCACTGAGCCACTGCCTGCCCACCCACCACTCACTGCCACTGAGCCACTGCCTGCCCACCCACCACTCACTGCCACTGAGCCACTGCCTGCCCACCCACCACTCACTGCCACTGAGCCACTGCCTGCCCACCCACCACTCACTGCCACTGAGCCACTGCCTGCCCACCCACCACTCACTGCCACTGAGCCACTGCCTGCCCACCCACCACTCACTGCCACTGAGCCACTGCCTGCCCACCCACCACTCACTGCCACTGAGCCACTGCCTGCCCACCCACCACTCACTGCCACTGAGCCACTGCCTGCCCACCCACCACTCACTGCCACTGAGCCACTGCCTGCCCACCCACCACTCACTGCCACTGAGCCACTGCCTGCCCACCCACCACTCACTGCCACTGAGCCACTGCCTGCCCACCCACCACTCACTGCCACTGAGCCACTGCCTGCCCACCCACCACTCACTGCCACTGAGCCACTGCCTGCCCACCCACCACTCACTGCCACTGAGCCACTGCCTGCCCACCCACCACTCACTGCCACTGAGCCACTGCCTGCCCACCCACCACTCACTGCCACTGAGCCACTGCCTGCCCACCCACCACTCACTGCCACTGAGCCACTGCCTGCCCACCCACCACTCACTGCCACTGAGCCACTGCCTGCCCACCCACCACTCACTGCCACTGAGCCACTGCCTGCCCACCCACCACTCACTGCCACTGAGCCACTGCCTGCCCACCCACCACTCACTGCCACTGAGCCACTGCCTGCCCACCCACCACTCACTGCCACTGAGCCACTGCCTGCCCACCCACCACTCACTGCCACTGAGCCACTGCCTGCCCACCCACCACTCACTGCCACTGAGCCACTGCCTGCCCACCCACCACTCACTGCCACTGAGCCACTGCCTGCCCACCCACCACTCACTGCCACTGAGCCACTGCCTGCCCACCCACCACTCACTGCCACTGAGCCACTGCCTGCCCACCCACCACTCACTGCCACTGAGCCACTGCCTGCCCACCCACCACTCACTGCCACTGAGCCACTGCCTGCCCACCCACCACTCACTGCCACTGAGCCACTGCCTGCCCACCCACCACTCACTGCCACTGAGCCACTGCCTGCCCACCCACCACTCACTGCCACTGAGCCACTGCCTGCCCACCCACCACTCACTGCCACTGAGCCACTGCCTGCCCACCCACCACTCACTGCCACTGAGCCACTGCCTGCCCACCCACCACTCACTGCCACTGAGCCACTGCCTGCCCACCCACCACTCACTGCCACTGAGCCACTGCCTGCCCACCCACCACTCACTGCCACTGAGCCACTGCCTGCCCACCCACCACTCACTGCCACTGAGCCACTGCCTGCCCACCCACCACTCACTGCCACTGAGCCACTGCCTGCCCACCCACCACTCACTGCCACTGAGCCACTGCCTGCCCACCCACCACTCACTGCCACTGAGCCACTGCCTGCCCACCCACCACTCACTGCCACTGAGCCACTGCCTGCCCACCCACCACTCACTGCCACTGAGCCACTGCCTGCCCACCCACCACTCACTGCCACTGAGCCACTGCCTGCCCACCCACCACTCACTGCCACTGAGCCACTGCCTGCCCACCCACCACTCACTGCCACTGAGCCACTGCCTGCCCACCCACCACTCACTGCCACTGAGCCACTGCCTGCCCACCCACCACTCACTGCCACTGAGCCACTGCCTGCCCACCCACCACTCACTGCCACTGAGCCACTGCCTGCCCACCCACCACTCACTGCCACTGAGCCACTGCCTGCCCACCCACCACTCACTGCCACTGAGCCACTGCCTGCCCACCCACCACTCACTGCCACTGAGCCACTGCCTGCCCACCCACCACTCACTGCCACTGAGCCACTGCCTGCCCACCCACCACTCACTGCCACTGAGCCACTGCCTGCCCACCCACCACTCACTGCCACTGAGCCACTGCCTGCCCACCCACCACTCACTGCCACTGAGCCACTGCCTGCCCACCCACCACTCACTGCCACTGAGCCACTGCCTGCCCACCCACCACTCACTGCCACTGAGCCACTGCCTGCCCACCCACCACTCACTGCCACTGAGCCACTGCCTGCCCACCCACCACTCACTGCCACTGAGCCACTGCCTGCCCACCCACCACTCACTGCCACTGAGCCACTGCCTGCCCACCCACCACTCACTGCCACTGAGCCACTGCCTGCCCACCCACCACTCACTGCCACTGAGCCACTGCCTGCCCACCCACCACTCACTGCCACTGAGCCACTGCCTGCCCACCCACCACTCACTGCCACTGAGCCACTGCCTGCCCACCCACCACTCACTGCCACTGAGCCACTGCCTGCCCACCCACCACTCACTGCCACTGAGCCACTGCCTGCCCACCCACCACTCACTGCCACTGAGCCACTGCCTGCCCACCCACCACTCACTGCCACTGAGCCACTGCCTGCCCACCCACCACTCACTGCCACTGAGCCACTGCCTGCCCACCCACCACTCACTGCCACTGAGCCACTGCCTGCCCACCCACCACTCACTGCCACTGAGCCACTGCCTGCCCACCCACCACTCACTGCCACTGAGCCACTGCCTGCCCACCCACCACTCACTGCCACTGAGCCACTGCCTGCCCACCCACCACTCACTGCCACTGAGCCACTGCCTGCCCACCCACCACTCACTGCCACTGAGCCACTGCCTGCCCACCCACCACTCACTGCCACTGAGCCACTGCCTGCCCACCCACCACTCACTGCCACTGAGCCACTGCCTGCCCACCCACCACTCACTGCCACTGAGCCACTGCCTGCCCACCCACCACTCACTGCCACTGAGCCACTGCCTGCCCACCCACCACTCACTGCCACTGAGCCACTGCCTGCCCACCCACCACTCACTGCCACTGAGCCACTGCCTGCCCACCCACCACTCACTGCCACTGAGCCACTGCCTGCCCACCCACCACTCACTGCCACTGAGCCACTGCCTGCCCACCCACCACTCACTGCCACTGAGCCACTGCCTGCCCACCCACCACTCACTGCCACTGAGCCACTGCCTGCCCACCCACCACTCACTCAGGCTGCTATCCAGGAAGCAGTTCACGTGGTGCTGCAGCTGCAGCCACGCAATGGCAGCCTTCCTCACTTCCGTTGCGCCTATATCCGCCCCCTCCGCCGCCGCTCCCCCTCCGCCATCCACCCCCGCCGTATACACCAGCTTCGCCAGCTGCTGACCGCCCCCCTCCCCCTCAGCACCAGCACCACCAGCAGCAGTGCCAGCACCTGCAGCAGCGTTACCGGCGGCGGCGGCGGCGGCGGCGGCAGCAGTGGCGGCGGCCTCTCGGCCGATCTGGGTGATGAAGAGGTTGGCCTCGAGGATCTTCGTGAGAAAGACGTTCTGAGCGTGCTCCAGCAGCTGAGGAGAGAGCGGGGGAGGGGAGGGACGGGGAGAATTAGACGTTTTGGGGGGGTTCGTAAAGCATGCGGTCTTGAAGCCTCTCGGCCGATCTGAGTGATGAAGCCTCGAGAATTTTCGTGAGAAAGACGTTCTGAGCGTGCTCCAGCAGCTGTGGGGGGGGGGGGATGGGAGGAGGGAGAAGGAGAGTTTAGGTGTTTTGGGTTTGGGAAAGGTGCAGTCTTGAGGCCTCTCGGCCGATCTGAGTGATGAAGAGGTTGGCCTCGAGGATCTTCGTAAGAAAGACGTTCTGAGCGTGCTCCAACAGCTGAGGGGGGAGAGGGGGGAAGGGGGGGAGAAGATGGAGAGGAGGAGGCTAGGTGTTTTGGAGGTTCGGTAAAGGTGCAGTACGGTCTCGCCGCTCGCGGCTTCTCGGCCGATCTGAGTGACAAACAAGTCGGCCTCGAGGGTGCGAGTGAGAAAGACATTTTAAGGGCGCCTTAACAGATGCTGCAGGTTGTTTTTGAGAATTCTCAAAAAACAACAAGTTGGCCTCAAGGGTGCGAGTGAGAACGACATTAAGAAGGTGCCTTAACAGATCCCAGCAGCAAGCAAGCAGCCCAGCCCACCATATCGTTCATCAGGTTGGGCGGGTGGAGCTTGTTGGGCGGAAATGGAGAGAGGGGCCATGCGACATGATGATATAATCATCCCCATGCACTTCGTCCCCCATACAAGCAGCAAGCATCCCCCATACAAGCAGCAAGCATCCCCCATACAAGCAGCAAGCATCCCCCATACAAGCAGCAAGCATCCCCCATACAAGCAGCAAGCATCCCCCATACAAGCAGCAAGTAAGCAAGCAGCCCAGCCAGCCCACCATGTCGTTCATGATGTTGGGGGGACGGAACTTGTTGGGCGGCACGAGCAGGAAGCGCAGGAAGAACGCAGACGGCCACGTCGGAGCCCCATCACCACCACCACCCCCCCCATGCTGCTCCCCCACGCCCTGCTGCTGCTGCTGGTAGTAGTACCGCTTGTGATGGTACGGCGAGAGAGCCACAACCAGGCCCCCCATGCGCGCAGCCTCAAGCAAGCAGCCCCATACAAGCAGGCACAAGCAACCAGCCCAGCAAGTAAGCAGCCTACCATATCGTTCATGATGTTGGGGGGACGGAACTTGTTGGGCGGCACGAGCAGGCAGCGCAGGAAGAACGCAGACGGCCACGTCGGAGCCCCACCACCACCACCACCACCACCACCACCGCCCCCATGCTGCTGCCCGTGCTGCCCCACGCCCTGCTGCTGCTGGTAGTAGTACCGCTTGTGGTGGTACGGCGAGAGACCCGCAGCAGAGTGGCCGTGGGAGTGAGTGGAGGAGTGCGAGGCGGGGGAGGAGGTGCCAAAGAGCGCGTTGCAGATAGCAGGTTCGCGGATCCACAGCCGTCTCAAATGCTCCTCCACCTCCGCCACATTCATCAGAAACGGCCGCCTCGTCCCCGCCTCTCCCACTCCCCTTCCTCCCGTCCCCCTCTTCCGCTTCGCTGCTGCTGCAAACATCTCGTCATCGCTGTCCTCCTCTTCCCTCAGCAGCATGCGTTTCTCTCCGCTTCCGTTTCCGTCCACGGTGTAGCTCCGGAGTTCCCCGTCCGGGGCGATGTTGATGTCTGCGGGGTCCGTGCCGGAGGCTGCGGCGTCTGCCAGTTCTGCGAGCACGTCTGGGAAGGTGAATCCGTTCAGGTCGTTCTGGTGCTGCGGCTTCAATGCCAGAGGTTTCTGGGAGAGTCAAGGGGGGAATGGGGAGGGAGAGGTCAGTGGAACTGAGGAGTGGGAAGCTCGTCCCTTCTCATGATGCCTTTTCCTCCGCTTCCGTTTCCGTCCACGGTGTAGCTCCGAAGTTCGCCGTCCGGGGCGATGCTGATGTCAGCGGGGTCGTTGCCCGAAGCTGCGGCTTCGGCCAGCTCTGCCAGCACGTCTGGGAAGGTGAATCCGCTCAGGTCGTTCTGGTGCTGCGGCTTCAGTGCCAGAGGTTTCTGGGAGAGTGGGGAGGCGGAAATGGGGGGTGGGGAGGTGGAATTGGATGGTAGCGGAAAGGTGAAGCCCGGCAAGTCGTTCTCCGCTTCCATTTCCGTCCATGGTGTAGCTCAGGAGTTCCCCGTCCGGGGCGATGTTGATGTCGGCGGGGTCGTTGCCCGAAGCTGCGGCTTCCGCCAGCTCTGCGAGCACGTCTGGGAAGGTGAATCCGTTCAGGTCGTTCTGGTGCTGCGGCTTCAATGCCAGAGGTTTCTGGGAGAGTGGGGAGGTGGATGGAAATGGGGGGTGGGGAGGTGGAAATGGGGGATGATGAGGCGGAAATGGGGGTGGGGAGGTGGAAATGGGGGATGATGAGGCGGAAATGGGGGGTGGGGAGGTGGAAATGGGGGATGATGAGGCGGAAATGGGGGTGGGGAGGTGGAATTGGGTGGTAGCGGAAAGGTGAAGCTCCGCAAGTAGTTCTGCTGCTGCTGCTTCGCCAACAGCAGCTTCTGAAGGACTCAAAGCAGGGAATGTGGAGCGGATGGCGGTAGGCAGGAGGGAGGAGGGTGTGCAGAATCGTGAACCGTAAAACCCTGGACCTTGAAAGAAATCATAAACCACAAAGGCACCCACCTTGAAACCCCGAACCCTTAAACCCCAAACCTTTGAGCCCAAACCCCTGTCGGCCGCCAGATAGCCAGACACAGACGTACTCGGAAGATCTTGCTGTGGCCCTCCCGCTTGACGCTGGGGTTGTTGGCAAAGCAGTTCTGGCACTTGGAGGGCGGCACCACACTCCACAGCTCCCGCACCACCTCCCTCGCCGTCACCTCTGCCGCACCTTGAAACTCCACCATAAACCCTGGACCTTGGAACCCCAAACCCTGTACTCTGGACCTTGGATTCCCAAATCCCAAACCGTACCCCTTGAACTCCCAAACCCGAAATCCTGAAACCCGAAAACCCCAACCTCGCCCAAACCCGAAGCCCTGAAAACCCTTCAAATCCCAACATTTCATGTCGTACGTACTCGGAAGATCTTGCTGTGGCCCTCCTTCTTGACGCTGGGGTTGTTGGCAAAGCAGTTCTGGCACTTGGAGGGCGGCACCACACTCCACAGCTCCCGCACCACCTCCCGCGCCGCCACCTCTGCCGCCCCTTGAAACCCCCCAACCCCTAAACCCAGGACCTTGGAACTCAAAACACTGAATTCTGGACCTTGGAACCTCAAACCTTTCACCTCGAAACCCCAATCCCTAAATCCTGCAACCCCTAAAATCCCAACCATTCATGCCAGACGTACTCGGAAGATCTTGCTGTGGCCCTCCCGCTTGACGCTGGGGTTGTTGGCAAAGCAGTTCTGGCACTTGGAGGGCGGCACCACACTCCACAGCTCCCGCACCACCTCCCGCGCCGCCACCTCCGCCGCCCACGACCACCTCTCCTCCCCACCCCCTCCCCCTTCCCCCTCCCCCAACACATCCCCCTCTTCGACTTCCCCGGCAGCAGCAGCTGCTTCTGCTGCTGCAGCAGCAGCCTTCTCAGCTTCGGCTTTCCACGACCCATCAATATCCATTTCCTCTGCTCCTTTCTTCCCCTCCTCCCCCTCCTCCTCCTCATCCTCCTCCTCATCATCATCATCTACTGCCCCTGCTGGCCCAGACACATATACAGCCTTCGCTGCTCCTTTTCCTCCCCCTAGGCCCCCTCCTTCTCCTCCCTTTCCTTTCCCATTCCCCTTGCCCCAGCCTCTCCGCTTGGCCTTGGGGGGCATTTTCTGCCCCAGCTCCTGAGCCTCCCTCAGCCGCCCCTGGGAGATCAGCGCTAGCCGCAGAGCATACAGCTTCGACTGCACACAAGGGAGGTGTGGGTGTTGGGGAGGGGGGTTGGGGGTCAGGGTAGAAGGTACATTTACTTAACATGCTTGGCGGCCTTAGGGGGCATTTTCTGCCCCAGCTCCTGAGCCTCCCTCAGCCGCCCCTGGGAAATCAGCGCCAGCCGCAGCGCATACAGCTTCGACTGCACACAAGGCGGGCGTGGGTGGTGGAGGGGGGTGGAGGGTTTAAGCTTTTAACCCAAGAGGCCAGACGCAGCGCATACAGCTATGACTGCACACGTGGGGTGGTTGGGGGAGGCGGGTGGGGCGGGGTGCGGGGTCACGCAACGCAGCAGCTTGACAAGGAGAGGGGAGAGCAGCGGATAGTACACGGGCAGGCCTAAGGTAAACACCCTACCCCTCCCTTGCGGTTGCGAAGGATAGCACGTACCACAGCGGAGAGCAGCTTGAGGTGGTGGCAGCGCAGGCACACGCAGCGCAGCAGCTTCACGTGAGGGAGAGAGCAGTGGGTGATACATACACGGGGAGGTCTAGCTTGGCCCTACGGCCGCTACCCTAACCCGTGATGCTTGACAGGTAGCACGTACCACGGCAGACAGCAGCTTGAGATGGTGGCAGCGCAGGCACACGCAGCGCAGCAGCTTCACGAGGAGCGAGAAGAGCAGCGGGTGGTACACTGGCAGGGCCAGCTCCAGGTGGCCGAAGTGCCCTGGGCAATGGAAGTACCCCAGCTGGCACGTGACACAGCTGCGGGGCGAGAGGGCGGGGGTGCAGGGTTTAAGAGGTAGGGTTCAAGGCAAATGAAAGGGGTGGGGGACAAGCAGCGGGTGGTCCAGGGGCAAGGCGAGCTCCAGGTGGCCGAAGTGCCCCGGGCAATGGAAGTACCCCAGCTGGCACGTGACGCAGCTGCAAGGGGGGTTACGGGTGTAGCGTTTAAAAGTAGGGGTTTAGGGCGTGTAACTCACACGTCAAATTTATCCACAGGGCCGAGCGCGGGGTCATAAAGGCCCCCCGCGGCGGGGCTGCTCAGCCCATCGAAGAGCAGCGGGTTGGTGATGCGCCTCACGCTGATGGCGCGCACATCCATCCCCGCCTCGCCCCTAGACCCAACCCCCTCATAAACCCCCCCAAACCCCTAAAGTACTCACACATCAGACTTATCGACGGGGCCGAGAGCGGGGTCATAGAGGCCCCCAGCAGCAGGGCTGCGCAGCCCGTCGAATAGCAACGGATTGGTGATGCGCCTCACGCTGATGGCGCGCACCTCGTCCGCCGTGTAGAATCCGAATCCCACGCCCTCTATCACGCGACTCACCACCTGGAGTAAGGCCGCGGGAGGGGGAGGGAAGGGGGAAGTGGGAAACAGAGAGTACGGATGCGCCTCACGCTGATGGCGCGCACCTCGTCCGCGTGTAGAATCCGAACCCCACGCCCTCTATCACGACTCACCACCTGGGGGGATGGGGACGGGGGAAGGGGGAAATGAGGGCATGAGTGCGCATGAAAGGGGGCTGATCGGCGCGCACCTCGTCCACCGTGTAGATGCACTCCACACCCTCTATCACGCGGCTCACCACCTGCGGGAAGGGGGGGAGAGGGGCGGGAGGGAGAGGGGGGGGGAGGGGGAAGAAGGGGGGAGGAGGAGAATGAGTGCGGAGGAATGGGGGCTGATCGCGCGCACTCAGTCCGCCACGTAGAGCGGAACCCCGCGGCCACAATAGTGCGTTGAGACATTGTCGTGACGCGAGCGGCAAGGTAAACGTCTCGAAACCGCCGACATTGTGGTGTGCAGTTGGAGGCAACTGAGTGTTGAGGCGTCTCAGAAACTCAATCATGTAGTGACTTTTGAGTCGACTTAAAGAGCCACCTTGAAGCAAGCGGCATGGTACACGCCTCGAAACAGCCGAGATTGTGGTGTGCAGGTGAAGGCAACCGAGTGTTGAGGCGTCTCAAACCTCAGTCATGCTTTCCCATGCAGGTGAGGATAACTAGTGCAAACGCAATTGAATTTTCTTTAAGAAGACGCGGCGTTAGACCCTGGCCTTTTGCGAAAGGATGGCGTTTGATTTGGCTGAGGTCAATAACGCGAGGTGGCAAACGTGACGTGGGGGGAAAGGCTAGAGCCTGTTTCTTCTGGCCAAAGAATGCCGGTGGCAAGCTGGCATCGAGGCAAAGGAGAGGGGAGAACCATGGACGACCGTGGATAACCCTAAGCGAGGCTCAAACGCTTCGACCATGCCGACATTTGCCTTGAAAAATGAAATCTCGCAGCGATCTTTGGCGTTCGAAATCGAGACGCAAAAAACGGGTTTTGGAGAAAAAGAATGGTCTACGAATCGATTAACGCATGCGCACCTCATGACGAACCGACTTGTTCATGGTCGCATCAACGAGCGACGGTGAGAAACTACGACTGCTTCACCGTCACCAGTACCACCGAATGCCGGTCAGGCGTAACACTGTGCGATTGGAATACCAGCACGCGATGCAAATTCCTCAAAACACGACGAATTCCTGAACCCCCGAGCGGTTTTCCGCCGGTCGATTCGAGGCTATCAACCAGCGGATCAGGCGGCGGTGAAAGGTATGTGAAGCAGGGATAGGGCGAGACTAGATGCTACAGGGATAGGGCGAGAGTAGATGCTAACCCTAAATGAAGGTCTAGGGGTTTGTGATGCTACTTGTTCTGGATGCTATGCTACCGGTATAAGGAATTCGCCCGGTACAAGCGAGGTCGGCGAGAGACATAAATGGCTACCAGTTATTTGCTTGATTAACATTATCGTACGAATGTTAATGCAAACAATGTGTGGTCAATAATTCATGCAAACATTGAGTGTTTAAAAATCCCTAAAAATTATGTTCAGTAGCTAGGATACCACAGTGCTAGCATGATGAATAATTTGGATACAAGAATGCATGCACAAGGTGGTTACATTGCCATTCCTGTCATGAATGAACTAGAACTGCCTGCTACAAAGTTACATTCCGGAATCAGGGCTGTATCAGAGCTTACACTCGTCCTATATCTATGCCCTTGACCTGGAGGATGGAGGAATGGCTTGAACCTGACGTGGTACAAAAACAGATCAAGCAGGGAAGAGGAGCAAACAGATGGGAGCAGAGACGGTAGGGAGGTCGTCAAATGGACGAAAATTCTCGGAAGGACAAATAGCAGCCTAAGAAAGTGACTCAGATATCACGAACCAAGGAGCCAGCAATGGAACGTGACTGATGACAGAGGCATGGACTCTTGAAGCTGGTTCTCAAACCCATTGCCGAATCATGAAAGAAGAGCACTGGGCACACCTGAGAACACAGTGGTTGGAGAATGATAGCCCATACTAGCACTAGGCCAACGAAAGCATGGCAATAACACATCACAAATGGTCAAGATGATAGCCCCACTACCACTACGCGTGTACCCACTACGTGATTTTTAGGCTGGAGGTGAACCACAGGACAAATTTTGAGGTGCCTCAAATCTCATCTCATTCCATTACCACTACATGGTTTTAGGCTAGGGTTGCACAGGACTGGAAACATAATAGTCGCTAGGTCACCTCTCAGGTTGCCAGTACGGGTGCTCTACGCTCTAAAGAGGGGCCACTTTTATCAGGGCCACTTTGATCATGGCCACAAGCCGCATTTCAAATCGAACTGCCGAACAAACGCGCTCATCGTTGAAATGTCAACGACCTACCACATGAGCACGACCGTCTAAAGCGCCACCACCCGTTACTTTCCCGTAACCACTCTCCTCCTCACCTGCATGCCACTATAACGAGGTCATTGCGTTGCTTCGCGGAAAGCCTCCATCTTCTTCATCCGCCGTAGGAACAGCTCGTATTCGCACTTTTCGTACGAGTGCCGCTCGTCGCTGCACTTCCACGGCGCGAACATCGTCTCCGTGCGGCACCGGTTCAGCGGAATCAGCAGATGCGCGCACAGATCGCGCGCGCCCAGGCTCAGCCGCGCGTTCGCCATCTCCTCCTCCGACACCAGCGGCTTCTCCGGAGCGGACATGGCTGCGGATCAAACGAGGATCTTCTCTCGTCCCTCTTTTGCGCCGACGCGATATAAGAACGAATCAGAAGCTTTTGTCACTAGTGTTACGGGTCGGCGTGTTGCGGGAGCGGGAAGATGGCAGGCGGGGACGGACGACTGTGCGGTGGGCGGAGCCGGAAGCGGAGCTGGTGCGGCCAGAGGGCTGACGATGCTCGTGGTTGATGAACCCTCTGTACCCGCTGCAAGCGAAGTGTAAACGGGTTAGGGCGTAGAACATCCTGCTCATAATCAATTTGGGATGGCTCTTCACCGTACTAGCTCTGTGCAACACATGACAAGAAATAACAAAACGTTACAGTGATGATTTGGTGGAACACCTGGTTATGTATTATTGCTAGTTGAAGCACTTAGTAGCCGTTTTTCTGTAGTGTAACTCAATGTGCTGAAGGTTCAGATCGCATGCTGTTTGTTGGCTAGTCTACAGGCATATGTATCAACCTGCACATGTACCTTCAGTGACATCCTTTCAACTAACTTCTAATCGGGGTCAGACTGAAACGCTACATAGTCTGACACAATCCAAAACTGCAACCCGACACGGTTCCAAAATCTAGATTCCAAAGCTCCTTCTCGCTCAGCTTGGTCCTTACTGTTCGGACGTCCTTAGCTGCTTGCCGATCAAATGCAATCTGGCTTCTAACTAGCCGTCCAATAAAAAAATGGCATCACACGGGAATCCCACGCACAGCGATTCGGAACCCGCAAACGGCGAGGATGGCGTTTCGGCGCAGACCCCGCAAGGTTCGATGCGCACGCCAGCGCAAACCCCGCAGGGATCAATGCGAACGCCGGAGCAGACTCCGCTTACTCCGCGGGACTCGGGGCGATCGAGCTCGCCTCAGCTGAACTTCACGCCGCGCGCGAGCGCTGGTAGCCCGTACAGCTCGCAGCAACCCACCGTCCGATCCACGTGCGTTGCTCTTAGTTCCTATTAGTCATCTCTTATCTGCATCTACTAGGTGGATTGAAAGTCACCGCGAGCGCCGCCGGCAGCCGCTAGAGCTCGGAGCAACCCACTGCCCGATCCATGCGCGTTGCGCCTTACGCCAACTAGTAGCGTTTGTTTTGCTTTGTGACACTCTCGAATTTACGCACTCCTGGCTTATCGTTGGTCCTTGCCTGCAGTCAGTCGATCTCACTGCACAAATGATTCGAGCTCGTTTGGGATCCGGACCTCGAGCAAAGAATGCACTCTGCGCACGGTTCTCCAACCCTATCCCTCCTCCCTCTCCCTCTCACCGCCCTCCCGCAGTCCGTCCTTCCCCAGGAGCGGCCTGGGCGGCTCTATGGCACAGCGCCGCAGGTTGTCATCATCCCCCCTCTCCGCCAACCCCTCCCCCCACTGCTGTTTCCCCCCTCTCCTTCCCGTGCTCAGTCCGTCCTTCCCCAGAAGCGACCTGGGCGGGTCCATGGCGCAGCGCCGCAGGTTCCACCGCCGCAGGCAGGGTGCGTCAGGGCAGGCGGCATCTGCGGGAGGTGCGCCTTCAGGCACGCCTGTCAGCACGCCAGGACCCCCCGAGCCGTCCGATAGCCTGGTAGGTGGTTTCTGAAGAGCATCGAACAAACACTGACAGGGCGCATCAGGGCAGGCAGTATCTGGGGGAGGTGCGCCTTCAGGCACGCCCATCAGCACGCCAGGGCCCCCCGAGCCATCCGATAGCCTGGTGGGTGGTTTTAAAGAGCATCAAGCAAACACTGTCAGGGCAGGCGGTATCTGGGGGAGGTGCTCCTTTAGGCACGCCAGGGGCCCCCAAGCCATCTGATAGCCTGGTGGGTGGTGTTTCTGTGATGCACCGATCGTCTAGTAGGTGGTTTCTGAATGCAACACCTAAAACACCGTCAGGGCAGGCGGCATCTGGGGGAGGTGCGCCTTCTGGCACGCCCGTCAGCACTTCGCCCCGCCCTGAGCCATCCAGTAGCCGGGTGGGTGGTTTTTGAAGTGGCTTAAGAAAAATCAGGACAGGTTGTAGCGCGTACCAGGGGAGGAGATTTGGAGCAGCACAGAGCGCTCTAGTAAAGACTTCCTCCCTCTGCTCCATTCGTCCTCCCTTTCCCCTTCTGTTTCGCTCATGCCCTGACAGGGAGGCAACTCGGAGCAGGACAGAATGTCGTGGGAGCAGTACCACCAATTTCCGACGGACTGAATGATTTTGAATGACTTTTTTTCCCTCTGTACCGCTTGTGCCGCCTTCCTCCCTCCGTTTGTGCCCTTTCAGGGAGGCAACTCGGAGCAGGACAGAATGTCGTGGGAGCAGTACCACCAATTTCCGACGGACTGAATGATTTTGAATGACTTTTTTCCCTCTGTACCGCTTGTGCCGCCTTCCTCCCTCCGTTTGTGCCCTTTCAGGGAGGCAACTCGGAGCAGGACAGAATGTCGTGGGAACAGTACCACCGCCAGCAGCAGCAGAGGGGGAGAGGAGGAGCCGCAGGAGCAGGGGCAGGGGCACGGGAAGGGGCGCGTGGGGAGGCAGGACCAGGTGGGGAGGCGCAGGGGATGGGGGTGGCGGGGGAGGGGGAGGAGGAGGAGTTGGAGGGGACGTTTGTGTGGGGCACGGGTGTGAGCGTGCAGGACGTGTCCAGCAAGTTTGCATCGTTCGTGCGGCACTTCCGGGAGGCGGATGATGCCCTTCACGCCAAGTACTCCCAGCAGCTTGATGAGGTGCGGTGGGGGGGAGGTGGGGGGAGGGGGGAGGGAAGGAGGAGAGGGAAGGGAGGGACCGAGGGGGCTCGAGGGAGATGTGAGTGAGCAGGCTATAGGGAGACACCTTTCTCCATGGACTTTGTGTTTTGAGTCGACTCAAAAGTCGTGTTTTGTGTTTTGAGTCGACTCGTGTTTTGAGTCGACTTAAAACAGGGACCGAGGGGGCTCTAGGGAGACACCTTCTCCATGGACTTTGCTGATGTGCGTGCCTCCACAACTTATTTTTTCAAGCAAACCGTAATTCCCTCCTTCCCCTCCCTCCCTCATCCTTTTTCCTCCCCCTCCCCCTCCCCCTCCCCCTTCCCCTCCCCCTCCCCCTCTCCCTCCCTTCCCTCGCCCCTGGCCCCCCACACACACACCCACCAGCTGGTGGAGATGGAGGGGGACACCTTCCCCGTGGACTGTGCTGACGTGTACGCCTTCTCTGCTGAGCTGTACCGCCTACTAGTGCGCTACCCATTGGAGGTCATCCCCATCTTCGACATCAAGATTGCTGAGCTGGCAGCCGACCGCATGCCCATGTGGGACAAGCACATCCAGGTGGGCGATTCATGGGCTGTTGTATATCGCGGACATAGTCACATCTGTTGTACGGACATCGCGGTAGCTGTTTCTAGCACATCTTTTCGAGCATGGGGCATACGTGAGCTGGCAGCCGACCGCATGCCCATGTGGGAGAAGCACATCCAGGTGGGTGGCGTGGCTTACACAGTCACGCAGACGCGCACGCACACCTGGTATAGTAAACCACTCTGTGTGGTTTTGAGGCGCCTCAAAACTGAACAAGCACATCCAGGTGGGTGGATGACACAGTCATGCAGGGGTAAACACACACACGCACACCTGGTATAGTAAACCACTCTGTGTGTGTGCGTATGGTATAGCTCTGCACATTCTACTGCGCGACCTTCCACTTTCCATTCCTCCCCTTCTCCACTCTCCGTCACCCTCTTCCCGCTCTCACCCCACGCTCAGGTGCGCACATTCAACCTCCGGGACACAGTGCACATGCGCGATCTTAACCCCTCAGGTGCGCACATTCAACCTCCGGGACACAGTGCACATGCGCGATCTTAACCCCTCAGGTGCGCACATTCAACCTCCGGGACACAGTGCACATGCGCGATCTTAACCCCTCATGTGCGTCTTTAATTGTCCGCCTTGTTGCTGGGCTGGAAAACTGCACCGCAGCACAGCACAGCACAGCACAGCACAGCACAGCACAGCACAGCACAGCACAGCACAGCACAGCACAGCACAGCACAGCACAGCACAGCACAGCACACCACACCACACCACGCCACACCATCTCCAGGTGCGCACGTTCAACCTCCGGGACACGGTGCACGTCCGCACGTTCTCCATCATTCAACCTTTCAAACCGACTCCAAATCCCTCCCTCCCTCCTCCTACTCCCACCAGACATTGACGCACTGGTGGCGGTGAGGGGCATGGTCATCCGCACTTCCTCCATCATCCGTTTTTTCTATATGTGACTCAATCTCCCTCCCTTGTTCCTCCCCACCCCACTGCCCCCCCCAACCACCAGACATTGACACACTGGTGGCGGTGAGGGGCATGGTCATCCGCACCTCCTCCATCATCCTGTTGACTAGTTTAATCTTTCTCCTTCCGTCCTGTTCTCCCTCTCGCCCCCTCCCTTCCTCCCCCCACCAGACATCGATGCACTGGTGGCAGTGAGGGGCATGGTCATCCACACCTCCTCCATTATCCCAGACATCAAAGCGGCTTAGTTCAAGTTCCTCGTGTGTCCCACCCCACCGCCCCCCCCCGCCAGACATCGATGCATTGGTGGCAGTGAGGGGAATGGTCATCCGCACCTCCTCTATCATCCTTTGTCACTACATGCTTTACCATTCCGCTCCTGCCCTCCTGTCCCTCCCGTTCATCAGACATCGATGCACTGGTGGCGGTGAGGGGAATGGTCATCCGCACCTCCTCTATCATCCTTTGTCACTACATGCTTTACCATTCCGCTCCTGCCCTCCTGTCCCTCCCGTTCATCAGACATCGATGCACTGGTGGCAGTGAGGGGAATGGTCATCCGCACCTCCTCTATCATCCTTTGTCACTACATGCTTTACCATTCCGCTCCTGCCCTCCTGTCCCTCCCGTTCATCAGACATCGATGCACTGGTGGCGGTGAGGGGAATGGTCATCCGCACCTCCTCTATCATCCGTTTTTTCTATAAATGACTCAATATCCTTCCCTTGTTCCTCCCCACCTCACCGCCCCCCCCCCCCAATCAGACATCGATGCATTAGTGGCAGTGAGGGGCATGGTCATCCGCACCTCCTCTATCATCCCAGACATCAAGGCCGCCTACTTCAAGTGCCTCGTGTGCGGCCACTCGCCTGACCTCGTGCTCGTTGACAGAGGTGAGTTGAGAGACCAACGTGGAGAGAGATGAGTAAGGCGGGGGGAGGGGGGGACAGTGCGTGGGTGGAATGACATCAAGGCAGCTGACTGCTAGTGCCTCGTCTGCGGTCACGTGAAGCGAGGTTGTTTTTGAGACGTCTCAAAAACAGTGCGTGGGTGGAATGACATCAAGGCAGCTCACTGCTAGTGCCTCGTCTGCGGTCACTCTCCCGACCTCGTGCTTGTGGACAGAGATGCTGCAGGAAGCACCTCCTCTGTTCCCAGCTATATTGGAGTGACTTTTGAGAATTCTCAAAAGTTCCCCCACCCACCTCTCTTTTCACACTCTCTTCTCCCTGCCCTCCTCTCCGCAGTCTCCATGACACTAATGCACAACCGCAGTCGCTTTATCTACAAGCAGATGCTGCGCCTGCAGGAGACCCCTGTTATGTTCTCCTATCCTTACCCTCCACCTTTTCCCGCTCTCCCTCTCCTTTTCCCCCTTCCCCTCCCCTCCGCACGCCCTCCTTACTCCCCACGCTTGTCTCGCAGGAGTTATTGAGGAACCAAGACGCTGCCCATGGCCCGAGTGTGGGGCATCGAACAGCATGACCTTGCTGCACAACCGCAGCCGGTTCATCAACAAGCAGATGCTGCGCCTGCAGGAGACGCCAGAGGACATGCCCGAAGGGGAGACACCGCACACCGTATCGGTGTTCCTGTTCGACTCATTGGTTGACACCGTCAAGCCGGGTGACCGAGTGGAGGTGAGCTTCTTTCCCTCCTACGTGGATTAGCACTAGGGGCAGGGAGGTGGGTTCGCCTGCAGGAGGTACCAGAGGACATGCCTGAAGGGGAGACACCGCCCGCACACCGTGTCCGTGTTTCTGTTCGACTCGCTGGTGGACACTGCCAAGCCGGGCGACCGAGTGGAGGTGAGCTCAGTTTCTTGTATAGTAGCATCATGCCTGTGCCTGAAGGAAACTCCCGAGGACATGCCTGAAGGGGAGACACCGCACACCGTGTCCGTGTTTCTGTTTGACTCCTTGGTGGATACCGCGAAACCGGGTGACCGAGTTGAGGTGAGCTCGTTTCTTTGTGGAGTAGAGTAGCAACGTGCCTGTTTGTGCCTGCAGGAGACACCAGAGGACATGCCCGAAGGGGAGACTCCTCACACGGTGTCTGCGTTCCTCTTTGGCTCCTTGGTGGTTGACACTGAGAGGCCAGGTGACCGGGTGGAGGTGAGTACCAAACAGTGGTACTGCATGGATTAGTACCAGGGAGGTGGGTTCGCCTGCAGGAGACACCACAAGACATGCGTGAAGGGGAGACCCTCCCCACAGTGTCTGTCTGTGTTCCTCTTTGACTCCTGTATGGACACTGCGAGACCAGGTGACCGAGTGGAGGTGGGCGGGTGGTCTGATTGTGACGTGCCTTGTTGCACTCGCCAAAGGCGGTGGCTTTCACAAGCACAGGCTGACCGGCTGACCGGCTATCCCGTTGCTTGTTTGCCTTGTTCCTTGTATCGCAATGCTGTGTGTGTGTGTGTGCAGGTGACGGGGGTGTTTCGAGCCGTGCCAGTGCGGGTCAACTCCAACCAGCGCAACCTGCGCTCGCTCTACCGGGTGGGTGCGGGGTAGGATGGGTGGCTGGGTGTGGTGGGGGGCTGTATGGGGGAGGTTGAGTGTGCGGTTGGGTGGGGGGATGTGTGAGTGGGGGGGTGGGTGGGTGCATGGGTGCATGGGTGGGCGGGTGAGTTGGCGGGTGGGCTGGTGAATGGGGGGGTGGGTGAACGGGTGGGAAGGAGGGCGGGTCAGGGGGTGCACAGGTGTTTGGCTGTTGGTGCTGCTCCTGCCGCCGCTGACTCTGCCGCAATCGCTGGCATACCAGGCCCATGCAATCACCCTCGTACACACAACCCCATCCTCTCCACTCTTCCCCCCCACCCCGCCAAATGCAGACCTATCTGGATTGCATTCACATTCGCAAGGAGGAGGGCGGGTGCACGCGCAACAAGGGGGCAGCGCAGCAGTCGCAATCACAGCCGCTGGCAACAGGGGGCGATGCTGACGATGCTAACCCCGATGCTGCCTACTTCTCTCCGCAGCAGGTATGCATGGGTGTAGGTTTCGCCTTTTAAAACGTATCAAAAGGAACAGCACAGCAGGTCAGCAGTAGTACAGCCGCTGGCAGCATCTGGTGATGCTGATGACGCCAACCCTGATGCTGCCTAGTTCTCACCGCAGCAGGTATGGGTGGGTAGATATCTCCTTTCGTATGAGACGTCTCAAAAGGAGCAGCGCAGCAATCACAGTCGCAGCCCCACGCAGTGACCATACCATAGCCATTGGCAGTATCTGCTAGGGGCGATGCTTTTGAGTCGACTCAAAAGCAGTATGGGGCGATGCCGATGATGCTAATGCATATGCCGCCTACTTCTCTCCACAGAAGGTATGCACGAATTCCGCCTTTTAAAATGTCTCAAAAGGCGCAGCACAGCAGTCACAGTCACGACTCACAGTTACAGCCACTGGCAGCCTCTACTGGGGGCGATGCTGATGACGCTAACCCTGATGCTGCCTACTTCTCTCCGCAACCGGAGTTTTCTTTACCACTGTTGCGGCTTAGAATTGAGTATTGAGGTTTTTCTTGAGGACCTTGCTTCTGCGCGTTTTGGAAGTTATCAGGCGTTTCGGTTCAAAAACTATCCGTCCATCCGCCCACCAGGTGGAGGCATTTCGGGAACTATCCCGGCAGCCGGACATATACGAGAGGCTGGCTCGCTCCCTGGCGCCGTCCATCTACGAGCTGGACGATATCAAGAAGGGGCTGCTGTGCCAGGTGGGCAGATGGGGGAGTGAGTAGCACGTTATCTATGCAACTCAGCAACACATCACACACTCCCTGGTGCCGTCCATCTACGAGCTGGACGATATTAAGAAGGGGCTGCTGTGCCAGGTGGGTTGGAATGTGGGGGGTAGTAGTCGCTAGTCAGGCGGGGGGCAAGGGAGGCACATTGTCCTGCAGTGCTACTCAAAATCACAAGCTCACCACTCGTGCTCCCTGGCGCCGTCCATATACGAGCTGGATGGCATCAACAAGGGGCTGCTGCTGTGCCAGGTGTGTTGGGGGGTGTGTTGGGAGGTGACTTGCATGTTATTCACGCAATGCAACTCAGAGACACGCCATACACACTCGTGCTCCCTGGCGCCGTCCATATACGAGCTGGATGACATCAACAAGGGGCTGCTGCTGTGCCAGGTGGGGTGCAGTGAAGGGACTGTTGTGCTGTGTTGGAGGAGAGGGGCTGCTGTGGCAGGTGGATGGGGGAAGAGTGAGTGCTGTGTCAGGTGGATGGGGGAAGAGTGAGTGCTGTGTCAGGTGGATGGGGGAAGAGTGAGTGCTGTGGCAGGTGGATGGGGGAAGAGTGAGTGCTGTGTCAGGTGGATGGGGGAAGAGTGAGTGCTGTGGCAGGTGGATGGGGGAAGAGTGAGTGCTGTGCCAGGTGGATGGGGGAAGAGTGAGTGCTGTGTCAGGTGGATGGGGGAAGAGTGAGTGCTGTGCCAGGTGGATGGGGGAAGAGTGAGTGCTGTGCCAGGTGGATGGGGGAAGAGTGAGTGCTGTGGCAGGTGGATGGGGGAAGAGTGAGTGCTGTGCCAGGTGGATGGGGGAAGAGTGAGTGCTGTGCCAGGTGGATGGGGGAAGAGTGAGTGCTGTGGCAGGTGGATGGGGGAAGAGTGAGTGCTGTGTCAGGTGGATGGGGGAAGAGTGAGTGCTGTGCCAGGTGGATGGGGGAAGAGTGAGTGCTGTGTCAGGTGGATGGGGGAAGAGTGAGTGCTGTGCCAGGTGGATGGGGGAAGAGTGAGTGCTGTGTCAGGTGGATGGGGGAAGAGTGAGTGCTGTGTCAGGTGGATGGGGGAAGAGTGAGTGCTGTGTCAGGTGGATGGGGGAAGAGTGAGTGCTGTGCCAGGTGGATGGGGGAAGAGTGAGTGCTGTGTCAGGTGGATGGGGGAAGAGTGAGTGCTGTGGCAGGTGGATGGGGGAAGAGTGAGTGCTGTGCCAGGTGGATGGGGGAAGAGTGAGTGCTGTGGCAGGTGGATGGGGGAAGAGTGAGTGCTGTGTCAGGTGGATGGGGGAAGAGTGAGTGCTGTGTCAGGTGGATGGGGGAAGAGTGAGTGCTGTGTCAGGTGGATGGGGGAAGAGTGAGTGCTGTGCCAGGTGGATGGGGGAAGAGTGAGTGCTGTGCCAGGTGGATGGGGGAAGAGTGAGTGCTGTGTCAGGTGGATGGGGGAAGAGTGAGTGCTGTGCCAGGTGGGGTGGGAAGTTATGGAGGCGACATGAACCTTCTGCTGGTGGGGGTTTACTTGACCATACTTTTGTTGAATTGACTTGACTAGAGTTGACTTTAATGACTCCGTTTGCCTGCCACTCATCCTCCACGCAGCTATTTGGGGACTTATCAGGCGTTTTGAGACATCTCAAAACTCATCCGCGGGGACTTATGAGGCGTTTTGAGACGTCTCAAAACTCATCCGCGGGGACTTATGAGGCGTTTTGAGACGTCTCAAAACTCATCCGCGGGGACTTATGAGGCGTTTTGAGACGTCTCAAAACTCATCCGCGGGGACTTATGAGGCGTTTTGAGACGTCTCAAAACTCATCCGCGGGGACTTATGAGGCGTTTTGAGACGTCTCAAAACTCATCCGCGGGGACTTATGAGGCGTTTTGAGACGTCTCAAAACTCATCCGCGGGGACTTATGAGGCGTTTTGAGACGTCTCAAAACTCATCCGCGGGGACTTATGAGGCGTTTTGAGACGTCTCAAAACTCATCCGCGGGGACTTATGAGGCGTTTTGAGACGTCTCAAAACTCATCCGCGGGGACTTATGAGGCGTTTTGAGACGTCTCAAAACTCATCCGCGCGGACTTATGAGGCGTTTTGAGACGTCTCAAAACTCATCCGCGGGGACTTATGAGGCGTTTTGAGACGTCTCAAAACTCATCCGCGGGGACTTATGAGGCGTTTTGAGACGTCTCAAAACTCATCCGCGGGGACTTATGAGGCGTTTTGAGACGTCTCAAAACTCATCCGCGGGGACTTATGAGGCGTTTTGAGACGTCTCAAAACTCATCCGCGGGGACTTATGAGGCGTTTTGAGACGTCTCAAAACTCATCCGCGGGGACTTATGAGGCGTTTTGAGACGTCTCAAAACTCATCCGCGGGGACTTATGAGGCGTTTTGAGACGTCTCAAAACTCATCCGCGGGGACTTATGAGGCGTTTTGAGACGTCTCAAAACTCATCCGCGGGGACTTATGAGGCGTTTTGAGACGTCTCAAAACTCATCCGCGGGGACTTATGAGGCGTTTTGAGACGTCTCAAAACTCATCCGCGGGGACTTATGAGGCGTTTTGAGACGTCTCAAAACTCATCCGCGGGGACTTATGAGGCGTTTTGAGACGTCTCAAAACTCATCCGCGGGGACTTATGAGGCGTTTTGAGACGTCTCAAAACTCATCCGCGGGGACTTATGAGGCGTTTTGAGACGTCTCAAAACTCATCCGCGGGGACTTATGAGGCGTTTTGAGACGTCTCAAAACTCATCCGCGGGGACTTATGAGGCGTTTTGAGACGTCTCAAAACTCATCCGCGGGGACTTATGAGGCGTTTTGAGACGTCTCAAAACTCATCCGCGGGGACTTATGAGGCGTTTTGAGACGTCTCAAAACTCATCCGCAGGGACTTATGAGGCGTTTTGAGACGTCTCAAAACTCATCCGCGGGGACTTATGAGGCGTTTTGAGACGTCTCAAAACTCATCCGCGGGGACTTATGAGGCGTTTTGAGACGTCTCAAAACTCATCCGCGGGGACTTATGAGGCGTTTTGAGACGTCTCAAAACTCATCCGCGGGGACTTATGAGGCGTTTTGAGACGTCTCAAAACTCATCCGCGGGGACTTATGAGGCGTTTTGAGACGTCTCAAAACTCATCCGCGGGGACTTATGAGGCGTTTTGAGACGTCTCAAAACTCATCCGCGGGGACTTATGAGGCGTTTTGAGACGCGGGGACTTATGAGGCGTTTTGAGACGTCTCAAAACTCATCCGCGGGGACTTATGAGGCGTTTTGAGACGTCTCAAAACTCATCCGCGGGGACTTATGAGGCGTTTTGAGACGTCTCAAAACTCATCCGCGGGGACTTATGAGGCGTTTTGAGACGTCTCAAAACTCATCCGCGGGGACTTATGAGGCGTTTTGAGACGTCTCAAAACTCATCCGCGGGGACTTATGAGGCGTTTTGAGACGTCTCAAAACTCATCCGCGGGGACTTATGAGGCGTTTTGAGACGTCTCAAAACTCATCCGCGGGGACTTATGAGGCGTTTTGAGACGTCTCAAAACTCATCCGCGGGGACTTATGAGGCGTTTTGAGACGTCTCAAAACTCATCCGCGGGGACTTATGAGGCGTTTTGAGACGTCTCAAAACTCATCCGCGGGGACTTATGAGGCGTTTTGAGACGTCTCAAAACTCATCCGCGGGGACTTATGAGGCGTTTTGAGACGTCTCAAAACTCATCCGCGGGGACTTATGAGGCGTTTTGAGACGTCTCAAAACTCATCCGCGGGGACTTATGAGGCGTTTTGAGACGTCTCAAAACTCATCCGCGGGGACTTATGAGGCGTTTTGAGACGTCTCAAAACTCATCCGCGGGGACTTATGAGGCGTTTTGAGACGTCTCAAAACTCATCCGCAGGGACTTATGAGGCGTTTTGAGACGTCTCAAAACTCATCCGCGGGGACTTATGAGGCGTTTTGAGACGTCTCAAAACTCATCCGCGGGGACTTATGAGGCGTTTTGAGACGTCTCAAAACTCATCCGCGGGGACTTATGAGGCGTTTTGAGACGTCTCAAAACTCATCCGCGGGGACTTATGAGGCGTTTTGAGACGTCTCAAAACTCATCCGCGGGGACTTATGAGGCGTTTTGAGACGTCTCAAAACTCATCCGCGGGGACTTATGAGGCGTTTTGAGACGTCTCAAAACTCATCCGCGGGGACTTATGAGGCGTTTTGAGACGTCTCAAAACTCATCCGCGGGGACTTATGAGGCGTTTTGAGACGTCTCAAAACTCATCCGCGGGGACTTATGAGGCGTTTTGAGACGTCTCAAAACTCATCCGCGGGGACTTATGAGGCGTTTTGAGACGTCTCAAAACTCATCCGCGGGGACTTATGAGGCGTTTTGAGACGTCTCAAAACTCATCCGCGGGGACTTATGAGGCGTTTTGAGACGTCTCAAAACTCATCCGCGGGGACTTATGAGGCGTTTTGAGACGCGGGGACTTATGAGGCGTTTTGAGACGTCTCAAAACTCATCCGCGGGGACTTATGAGGCGTTTTGAGACGTCTCAAAACTCATCCGCGGGGACTTATGAGGCGTTTTGAGACGTCTCAAAACTCATCCGCAGGGACTTATGAGGCGTTTTGAGACGTCTCAAAACTCATCCGCGGGGACTTATGAGGCGTTTTGAGACGTCTCAAAACTCATCCGCGGGGACTTATGAGGCGTTTTGAGACGTCTCAAAACTCATCCGCGGGGACTTATGAGGCGTTTTGAGACGTCTCAAAACTCATCCGCGGGGACTTATGAGGCGTTTTGAGACGTCTCAAAACTCATCCGCGGGGACTTATGAGGCGTTTTGAGACGTCTCAAAACTCATCCGCGGGGACTTATGAGGCGTTTTGAGACGCGGGGACTTATGAGGCGTTTTGAGACGTCTCAAAACTCATCCGCGGGGACTTATGAGGCGTTTTGAGACGTCTCAAAACTCATCCG